TACATGATAGCACTGCCCTCCTAACTTCTGGATTTGAATCATTTTCAATCAAAGTAACATATGCTAAAAATAAAACAATATATTTTAGTACATTAAATAAATGTTTCCTTAACCATAGTCATAAGATCACACATTTTGATATTTAATAGTATTTTTAAAATGATAAAAATATCACTTTTTAGTCTGGCATATGTATGCTAGCTGAAGATTTTCTTCAGTCAACTTCCCTTAATAAGGACAGAATAGGAAATTACTCAATGGATTGAGCACGAAGGCTAAAGCAAAAACAAACAGCCGTAAAGATCATTGAAAATCCACCATCAGGATTACAAAGCTGATACTCTTCAAGATTTAGAATGTCTAGTATAGCAGGCAGTTTATTTGAAACTGATAGGGCTTTGTGAAAAGCCATTACTATTTTGATTTTTAATGAGTTCTAAAAAGAAATAACTTCTGATTTTACTCACCTAAACAAAATCCATTCCTGAATTTAAATATGTATTTACCTCTACATCTCAAATTTTGTCCAGGTTCATAATCAAGTACATGTTTATTAAACACTAGAGGCCTGGTGCACAAAATTCATGCATGGGGAGGGGAGGTGTCCCTCAGCCCAGCCTATACCCTCTCCAATATGGGTCCCCTCAAGGGATGTCCGACAGCCTGTTTAGGCCTGATCCCAGTAGAATCGAGCCTAAACGGGCAGTCAAACATCCCTCTCACAATCCAGGACTGCTGGCTCCCAATTGCTCATCTGCCTGCCTTCCTGATTGCCCCTAACTGCTTCTTAATGCCAGCCTGATCATCCCCTAACCACTCCCCTGCCTACCTGATTGATGCCTAACTCCTCCCCTGCCAGCCTGATTGCCCCTAACTGTCCTCCCTACAGGCCTAGTCCCTCCTAACTGCCCTCCCCTGCTGGCCATCTTGTGTCCACAAGGGGGCAGGATCTTTGACCACAGGCCCATACTCTATCCACTGAGCAGAGTTTTTTTAAATAATTTATATAAATATATAGTCCATAATAAAAAAAATTAATCTACTGATAATTTAACAAAGTCAATAAAACCGAAAAAGGATTTAGTAGCAACACATACCATTAGCCACTGGGCATTCATCATCTTTGGGATCCTGAAGTCTTGAAAGAGCCAGAACTGCCTGTATCCTCACATTTGGAATTTTATCTTTCAATCTAATAAGCATGGCTTCATTAATCTTATCAAACAAATCATCATCAATCTGGGCATTTTCTGGCATATTTCCCAAGAGTTTGTTTATGAGCTGGCATACTCTAAATCTAACAGCATTGCTGTTTGCTTCATGAGACTGAAATGGATACAAACCAAAATGTAGTCACAGTCCATTACTAAATAATCACATATCATTCAGTTCTGTATGTTTAGAAGTTAAGAAATTATAGCAGTAATTAAATACTTACAGAAAAACTATTCCCTTGATCCTTCACACTGCCAACCCAACCTCCCTAAACCTCCAGACCTGCAGGAGATATCCGCCCACCCCCTCCCCACCCAACACTATGCCAGGCAGCCTCAGTGCCAGTAATCATTTCTCTCCCAAGTTCACGGTGTACAAAGGATACATGCGTACTAAAAATATATCACATAAGTTCTCAAAAGCACAGACTGAAGTGTTTGTTATAAGAGCATATTCCTCTTTACAGGAACTCTTCTAAGGTAGAGAACTCATTTAATATATGGAACTGGTTCAGAGAGGTCATTAAAAATTTAATGCTGGTGTTATCTTAAAAGTCCACTTTTTATAGGGTATGGGGGGGGTGATGATGGATGGAGACAGGACTTCAGGTGGAGAACACATAATGCAGTGCACAGATTAGTGTTGCACAACTGTGCCCTTGAAACCTGTATAATTTTGTTAACCAGTATCACCCCAATGAAATAAAATAAAAAATTTAAAAAGATCCACCTTTTTATCTTAACGACAGTTTCAATGTTTCCTATAAAAAGCAGATTCGATCACAGACATTTTGTCATTTACGTGGTATTTCAATCTCTAAAACATACAAACTCCCCTGCACCTTTTAATATAGTAAAATGTTCTGCAATTACTGCCCCCAAGTTGTATCGAATAGTTTTCATCATACCTTTAACAGAAAAGTACACAAATAATTTAAAAGTCCACCATCTTCCTCCTCGTTGTCTTCCACATCTGATTGGTGAAATGAAGTAACAAACTTCGCTGCAAACTCTATTACCCTCTCCACGACTGGCTCACGTTTGTAGACCACCATGGCATACTTAAGGTAATGAACGAACTCCTCGTGAAAAATTGCTTTATCCTCCGTCTGAAACGCAAACGAAACCTTCACAAACTGCACAGATGAGATCCTTATTTTATCAATGTTACTCTAAGAATGCTGAATGCCTTAGTCATAACGCGGACAAACTAAAGCCATTTAGAAAACGGAATCATCCAAACTATCAAAGGGGAATTTGCATGAATTTCTCTCCTGAGATATTGATTTATCCTGGAGGGGGTGGGAGAAGGGGGGGAAACAACCATGTATTTTGACAATGAAAGGATTCCCACCCCACCCCTCAACCCCCAGCATCCTTTCATTCTCAATACGCCTGGGTACCACTTTCCTAAAAGTATGCTTCATGAACTCAAGGTCACCAGTGGCTTTAACCCTTCATCATATGTAGCCTTTCTGTTTACTATACCTCTCACATCTGTCTCCTGTCTTCAACTCGTATTATACTGACTTACAATTTTTCTTAGACCCCAGAATAAGAAAAATTTTATTTCCCCGAAATTCATTGTCCTCCTAGTCCTCTCAAGGCTCCATTCAAAACAAACAGTCTGTACATTTATAGGAAGAGCCAGTCCTAGTGATTAACTTGCAATTTGGCGATGTGGTTCCAGTTAACCACGGGGAGGGGTGAGAACGGATGGCTGGTGGTTGGCGATGTGACCCACAGCTCGGGATCCACCCAGCTGGCGCCAGGCTGCCTCGATTTTCTCCCCAGGTCAGCGCCCACAGGGGGTAACGGTCCGCCCGGGAGGCGGCTGGGGAGACAGGGGTGAGGGGAAGGCGGGGTGGGTGATGGTGAGACGGGAGGAGGGCGGCGATCTCCGCAGGGCGGAGGGTGGAGGAGGGTGGGTGGGAGGTGCGCCGAGTCCGGGGCTTCCGGGAGGGCCTCGGGGTCAGGCGCGCTTACCGTGCGGTAGGTGCGGCTCAGAGCCACCACCAGCTTCGCCTGGTTCTGGTGCGACTGCTGCGCCAGCTGGAAGGCCTCCTTAACGGGCAGCAGCCTCTTCTCGGCCCCCATGGTGGCGCGACTCCCGAAGAAGGACGAGTCCTGTCAGCGCTCGGCGGCAGCTCGGCCCACTGAACACCAGCCAAGTCCGCTCAGCTCCCTCCGACTCCCTCCCGCGGGCCTCAGCGCCCGCAGGGCGTGATTACCGCCCAAGAGTTTAAATAACTCCCGCGGGAGAGGCAACTATCGCGAGACTGCCGAGACCGCGGCAAGAGGCGGGAGGCGGGAGGCGGGAGGCGGGAGGCGGGGCCGAGACAGCGGCGGGAGGCGGAGTCGGGAAGACCACCCACCTCCAAAGGAGCGGTTTGGGCGCATGCGCCAAGGGTTTAAGCAGCCGTTGTCGGGTAGGAAGTGACGTTTCTAAGAAGAGGAGGGGCGAAGGCTCAGCCGGAAGTAGTGTCCGTTGCACAGGGCGAGTCGAGTGGCCGCGCTGGCTTTCGCCAGAACGTGCGGCGGGGCGTGAGGCGGAAAAAATGCTCCTTGGGTGAGAGGGGGAGTCTGCTGGGGGGTCCAGCGGGAGGGAGCAGGGAGCTGGCGGGGGGTTCGTTTGCAGCTCGTGCAGAAGGAAAGAGCGGGCGCTGAGCGCAGGGCCGCGGCCTTTCCCAGCCTGGGCCCTCGGCTGCTGGGAGGGCTGCAGGGGGAGCAGGCGGGCCCTCCGCGCGGAGAGGCCCCGTTCGGTGCAGATGCAGCTGCTCTCCGTGGGCCTCCTTCCGAGGCCTGGTTCACAAAGGTGGGCACCGACCCTGTGCTCAACGGGACGGAACGGCACCAGCGTTCCCAGGGTGGTTAAGCTAAAGAAATGTTTGTTTGTTTGTTTGTTTGTTTGTTTGTTTAAAAAGGAGTGCTGCCTTCAGGGGGAACTGAGCCTTTAAACTGTTTTTTTAATGGAATTAATTGTATCCGACCAGAGTGAGCATCTCAGTACTCACAGCCATCTAAAGAAGTAGGTTACAGCCCGGCCTCGGCCGATGAACCAGGTAGACAGGGTTCGATTTGGGTCAGGGCACATGCCCGGGTTAGAGGCTCGATCCACTTTGGGGGGCGTGAAGGAAACAGCCAGTCAGTGATTCTCTTCATTGATGTTCCCCTCCCTCTCCCCCCCCCTCTCTCTCATCCTCTCCCCTGTGAAATCAATGAAAAGTCTATATTTGAAATTTTGACACAACGTTGCATTCAATTACGCACTGTTTTTATATACCTACTGTTATATAGATGTCACACATGTGACAGGTAAAAACATGCTTTTTTGGAAAAACAGCGCCATGTGTTGGACGTAAAAGCAACACATCTATACTAAATATTTTACGATTCCATTTCATAACAGTGTTTCCAATTGCATTGTTAAATTGAATTTTCATAGATTTTGAGTTACTTTCCTTTTAATTATTTCTTGTGACATTGCGTTGGAATTGAGCTATGTCATTTACCATAGCGTTTGTTTCGTGAGTATAGTTTATTTTTTTATTTTTTCATTTCGTATTTTTTACTGTTTTCTTATTTTTCAATGCAGTTGTCGGTGGAATTGAGGTATGTCGATTGATCTGCATTTGAATTGAAGTATTTCTTTAGTATTTTTTTATTTTTTGTTCTTTGGTTTTTAGTTCATGTTTTTTCCTTTTTTGATGTTTTGCAATTTTATATATTTTTGTTATAACTTTCTTCTTTTTCAGTGCAATCGATCTGCTTTAGTTCATCCAAATAATGCCTCGCAGAAAATCAAACCTAGGTCGTCGTACTCGTGGAGCAGAAGCAGTGCGACGAGTAATTGCAAATCAAACTGAGGAAGAACGGGCATCAGCCAACGAGCGAAACAGACAAAGAATGGCTCAAAAACGTGCCAAGGAAACTGCAGAGCAACGTGCAGCCAGACTTGAGGATGCACGGTTGCGAGCACGGCGATCGCGTTCTGCAGCTTTAAATCGGCTTCGTTCTCAACAGAATGAACGCCACAGGCTGAGAGTGCCCGAAAGACTTCAACACAAAACATCAGATCAGCATCAAACACAACTCCATGCTCAGCAATCACGCGATTACCATCGCCTTGCATTCCAGTACAACCCAGCTGATGATTATAGTTTGAGCTGGCATATTCTCATCGGCACTGTGACTGAAGTGTGTCCTTATTGCAAGGCTCTGAGATTTAATGCAGAAACAAAAGGAATGTGTTGTGTCGCCAGAAAAATTAAACTACCTCAACTTGGAGAACCTCCAGAGCAGGAGATTTCAGGCAAACATTACCTGTAATTTCTCATTCGACACCAGCGAATGAAATAAATGCTTGCATGAAATACTCTACTTTGTGGCGACACGTAAAGGCGTTAAAATTAACAACAAATATGCGTGTCCAGCTGCAAAACAATCTATCAGCTGAAATATTCTCACATCAATTGCTGGAAACTGGGAACAGAAAGATGCCGTTGATCTGACCTCAAGATGAATTTCATTGCCTCAATTTCTGCAATTTAGTAACTTCAAAAGAAAAATTGGTTGAAAAAGTATTTCCCAATATTCAAACCAATTATAAGAATTACAGTTGGGCATTAGGAAGAGAAGGATCCAAGATGGCTGCACAGGTAAACACCTAACCGCAGCCGCACACAACAATTTCAATAAAATACAACTAAAAAAAAAAAAGAATCACAATTGGCCGAAACCGGTTTGGCTCAGTGGATGGAGTGTCGGCCTGCGGACTTAAGGGTCCCAGGTTCGATTCCGGTCAAGGGCAAGTACATTGGTTGCGGGCACATCCCTGGTGTGGGGCATGCAGGAGGCGGCTGGTCGATGTATTTCTCCCATCGATGTTTCTAGCTCTCTATCTCTTTCCCTTCCTCTCTGTGAAAAATCAATAAAATATAGTTAATAAAAAAAAAGAATCACAATTGGCTGAGTGAACGGGCTGTTCTTGTGGCCAAGAACAATGGCGTCTACAAACTTAACATTATTATTCAGTCTAACATTCAAAGTAAGTTAGTCACATACAAGTCTGTTGACACTGTTGTGGAAGCAGATGAAGCAGTTCATTATCCAGCAGAATTTTTGAATTCACTCTTACCTGCCAGAGATGCCACCACATGTAGCAATTGAAAATCGGTGTGCCAATTATTATGTTGCAAAATATCAACCAGCCAAAGCTTTGCAACAGCACGCAGCTTGCAATTAAAAAAAAAAAAATTAATGAGCAATGATGTAGAAGCATCAATCTTGACAGGACCTTTCAAAGGTGAAAAGGTCCTCATTCCTCACATTCCTATGATTCCAACGGATATGCTATTGCAATTTAAGAGATTGTAATTCCCCATTCGAATGGCGTTTACAATCACCATCAACAAAGCTCAGGCCCAATCTTCAGAATTGTGCAGTTTAGATCTAGACACGGATTGCTTCTTTTATATGTTGTGTGTTCTAGAGTCTGCAAACCAGACAATATAACTGCACAGACAATGGAACAACAAAAAATACTATATACTCACCTTCTCTTTCTTTTCCATTTAACCAGACTGAGCCACAGCAACGTGTGGCTGTGTACAGCTAGTATATATTTTCCTATTGAATCACCTTCTCTTCCTAGCAGTAACAGATTTTCTGAGTTCACTTAATTTTTATGTATTAATAATAGATAATACATCTCTGAATAAATATACTCGATAGTTTTATGTTCTAATAAGAAAAGGGAGATCCCAGCCACGTCAGGCTCCTGCAGAATATATCAGGTGATTTTGCTTATTAAATTTGAAAGCCTATGATAGGATAATATTAAACTTTACCTTTCACTGTTGCATAAGTGATTATTAATTATAATTTAAGACAGTATAAGATTATTATAATTTAAATCTTCAAATATTATATGACCTTGACATTGACCACTAAGTTAAAAGGTACTAACACTACCAATATCATACTACTAGTTAATTTCTATCTCTTCTATTTTATAAGTCTAAATCATAGTATAATTGAATTGCTTCATTTTTTTTTAAATATATTTTATTGATTTTTTACAGAGAGGAAGGGAGAGAGATAGAAAGCTAGAAATGTCAATGAGAGAGAAACATTAACCAGCTGCCTCTTGCGCACCCCCTACCGGGGATGTGCCTGCAACCAAAGTACATGACCCTGACCGGAATCGAACCCGGGACCCTTAAATCTGCAGACTGACGCTCTACCACTGAGCCAAACCGGTTTAGGCGCTTCATTCTTTTCTATCTTTATTTCAACTCTATCCTCTAGGTTGGTATTAATTTAGACCCTTTTCATATTTCATTGTTTTAATAAACCTCCTTTATGATAATTTAAATGAAGGTATTCAATTCACTGGATTTCACTTCAGAGTTTTATTATTGGGTTTCTTTACCAAATATTGATATTTTGTACTATTTTCATATCAAAATAAACATTTTCTATATGTTGTAACTGAAGACCAAATCCAAATTTTAACAATAGCATGGAAAACCATTTTAAAATTCATGAATTGTTTATATTACTTTTCCCTAAAATGTTTTAGTTAGAAAAATGATATGCTTTCTTTATATAAGACATTGTGGTTTGCTTTATATTAGGAGTTTCAGTAAGCAGAAAGGCCAAATGATGTTAATTTTTGGTTTGAACATAATTCCTGTAAATTATAAAAACATGCCATCTATTTTTGTCATTGTCTTAACGTCACAGAAGAAAAATAAGTTTATCTTTATGAATAGAATGATGGTGGATATGTGGGTGAGAGACCTATATCTTCCATATTTTATTGTAAAAATCCCTTTCATTTTAATCCAACAAAAGTGTCTTTGCTATCAAATAACCATAGATCGCAGGCATACAGAAATGAATACTCAGGTCTTCACAATCTTCAAGGAGTGAAAGTAAAACAGTAAAGTACATTCACAAATACACAAATACAGCAATTATAATACATCGAAGACTGTAAGCAATGAGGAATTATATAAATAAAATGTCTCGAGCACAGAGAGGGGTAATTATATAGATGGGAATTATTGAACTGCAACAAGACTTGCTTGAATTGTATTGTACCCATGGTGTGGAAAAGTGGTGTGCTTTTTTGTTTTGTTTTTATATTTTATTTTATTTTTTTTTTTTTTTTTTTTTACAGAGAGGAAGGGAGAGAGATAGAGAGCTAGAAACGTCGATGAGAGAGAAACATCGACCAGCGAGAAACATCGACCAGCGAGAAACATCGACCAGCTGCCTCTTGCACACCCCCTACCGGGGATGTGCCCACAACCAACGTACATGCCTTTGACCGGAACCGAACCTGGAACCTTTCAGTCTGCAGACCGATACTCTACCACTGAGCCAAACCGGCTTCGGCAGAAAAGTGGGTTTTTGATAAGTACATCCAGCCTAGTTCCAGGAATGCTCAGGGCCTACTCAAGAAGGCAAATAATCCTTTTCACTAATAATTACGGGGTAAATTAAGATTGTTGTTAGAGTATTTAATTTGACAATAAAATATTAGTGAAGTTTTTAGACTAAGTTGGACAGTGATTTAACATCTTTTTCTTGTCATGGTGACTGGGGAAGTTCCAGGTCGTGGTGCTCCATAAACCTGGGTCCCTGAAAGGACATGGAACACTTCTCCCCACCCTCCTTCATACTGAATTTTGGAGGACACAGAGTTTAAGTAAAAATGAAATCTTTGTTTTAAGCTACTGAGATTTGAGTCTCTGTTACTAGAAAATAATCTAGTCCAGTATTCAGCAAACTGTGCCTCTTGAGCCACATGCAGCTCTTTGGCCCCTTGAGTGTGGCTCTTCCACAAAATACCATGGCCCGGGTGAGTCTATTTTGAAGAAGTGTAGTTAGAAGAAATTTAAGTTTAAAAAATTTGGCTCTCAAAAGAAATTTTGTTGTACTGTTGATATTTGGCTCTGCTGACTAATGAGTTTAGCTAACATTGATCTAGTCCATTCTGACTGCAGAAAGGAGTAGAATTATCACAATGGAAAACAAAATATATGGCTATGACTTAGAGGCTCAATGGTGGTGGCAAGGAAACTGTTAGAGGCTGGAAAGTTAGTAATCCGTGTTAGCTGTGGTAAAATATTTGAGACTTCCATTCTTCACCTTTACTGTGGTTATCCTGACTCTGTCCCATCACTGCACATTGTGTGTGTGTGTGTAAGCAGAGAGGGATAATACTTTGTCTTTTGAGATTCCTATAACAATAGAAGCCTATTCCTGTTCTAACATAGGGACTATCAGCCATCCCCCAGAGATGCTAAACTTAGTTATATGCCATTACTGAATAGAACTTCTGGATTATCTCACTTGTGATAGGGGTGAATATATTTTGTAGTGTAGAGAGAGTGAACTGTAAATTGGTGACTAGAAAGATGGACGACAGTAATCATTGGTGCTCTTCACGAGTAAATTCTGATTATCTTTGTTCTGGAAAAATAGGATTGCACTTCTGAACTCCCTTGAAAAATAGGCATGCCTGTATCATTTGCTTTTATCAAAGAAACGTGAGTGGAATTGACTTGTATCACTTTCAGGAAGAACCAATTCATTCATCTTCCTTGGACCTATCATGCAGGTGGGGAAGTTACAATGATTGGAGCTGTCCTAAATGATCAGGTTGCTTGGTGACAAGGACCTACTCTGAAGCTCCTCCCCCACAATTTTGGACCCTTTGTTAGGACTTAAGGCTGCATATAAACTAGCCCATCCTAACTAATGTCAATTACTGTAAAAGTGATCAGAAAGCTACAAATGCTGATAGCTGGCAATTACAAGTGGGATCAGTAATTAAAACTACTGATAATTCCTAAAGCACCTTCATGAGAGATTTTACTTCTCCAATTGTGACCACTCTAGAAAGGTGATTTGGAGATTTCAAACTTCATTTTCTTAATCTGTGAAAGTGTAGAATTATATCTTCACTGTTGAGAGGTAGTGATGAGCAATGAAATACTTTCTTGTAGAAAAAAAAAAAGGCAGGGAAAGATGGATAAGGATAAACTACAAAACAGGGAGGGTAGTACTGAACTCGGAATTCATAGGAGTTTCCAGGAAGAATTACAACATACTTCCCACATACTTGTGCATACGTTTTCAGTAATACACAGAACTTCTTAGTAAATTTTGGGTTCAGCCCCCTGCACATATACAGAAACACAAGCACAATTGTGATGCAAAAGTCAAAAGTTTCACTGAAGTTTAAATGAAAAACTCATTCTGAAGAAAAAGTATTTTCTCAAGCATAGAGTAGAATACGTTCCATAACATTTGTAAAGTGCCACACTTTATGTAGTAGGGTTAATCAAGTGAAAGATGTCACGATACAGAAGTTTCAATGGGTCACTGACCTCCAGGAGTTTACATTTTGCAGAGGATAACAAGTTTCCTCTTTGGGGGTTTTTCATGGAGTCACACCCAATGCCCTCCGTAAATAATTCTCGGTGAAAAGCCCCGCATCTTTTCCTTAAACCTTACACATATTCAGTTTCCGAAATTTCTTCGCCCTGGAAACTTAAATTAGGGAGGGATCTCTCTGGATATTTCGCCATTATTTGGGATGCGGCCCAATGACCAGGGCTTTTTCCCTGCAGTGGCGAGATGACTAACCCCCCAAAAAATGTCCAGCCCTTAAAGTACTAAGTGTACTTGAACCATTAAGAAGGGGTCTACTCTTTGCGATTTTCACCGCCCTTCTAGAGTAGAATCTAAAGAAGCTGAGGAGGCTCGATCACAGCAGTTCGGGGTGCAGGGCCTTGGAGGCCAAGTCCAGCAGAGGCGCAGCGCAAAGGAGTTCAAGGACTAAGCTCAAGTGTGCAAGGAGGACTGAAGAGTTGCCCATCCCTGCTGGACTACAAGGACCAGCATGCACGGCGCAGCGGAGTCCAGCTCCGCTCTGGGACTCGGGCGCAACGGAGCCTGGGAAGTGAAGTCTGCGTGCGGCCCAAGTCGCTTCGGGAAGGCATGGCACTCAGGTTCCTGGCCGGGCCGGGAGCCTCTCGCTTTCGCTCCGGGATTTCGCGGGCGGCGGGAGCAGTATGGCTCCCTTGAGTAAACTCCGGGCGGGAGGAGGCGCCGGCGAGGGGATGGGGCGGCGGGGTCAGCGGAAGCGGCAGGTTGCTTCCTCCTCCTCGCGCTCCCTCCCCTCCCCGCCTCTCCGGGACGGGGAAGGCTGGGCCGAGGGAAGGTAGTGACATGTGTCAATCAACTCCCCTTCGGGGGGCGCGCGCCCCTGCCTCTTGCCTGCGCCGCTCGTATGTAAATGAGGGCGCGTGACGCGGGACGCAGATGAACTGAGGAAGAGAGGGAATGGCCGCCGCCGCCGCCGCCGCCGCTCAGTGCCGGAGCCCTCGGTGCGCGGCGGAGAGGAGAGGATTCCGGCGGGAGCTCGACTCCTGGCGCCACCGCCTCATGCACTGTGTGGGTAAGAGAGGCTCGGGCTGGGGCCGCCGCCGCGCCGCGCCGCGCCGTCCGCCGCGCCCGCGGAGTTTGGGGCTGCGGGCTGAGTTGGTCTCCCGTCCGGGTCAGTTCAATGGGGAGCGGGCTGGCGGCGGCGGCGGCGGCGGCCCGGGCTCGCCTTTTGTCTGGGGGCTCCCGGCCCGGCGCCGTCCGCGCCCCTTCCTTCCCCTCCGGAGCTGTTGGGCTCCCCGCGAACTGTTAGTTCGGACCCGCTGGCCCGGCCCCCGGGGGAGCCGCTCGCTCGCTCGCTCGCGCTGTCCCCAAACTCCGCGGCGCCCCCGGCCGCCCGGCGGCCGCCCTGTCAGGAGGGAGGAAGCGGCCCGGCGGCGGCGGCGGCCGGGCGGAGGGGAGCCGCGGAGGAAGGCGGGCTGGTCCGCGCCCCCGCCGGGCGCTCACACACCCCCTTCTCGCCGCCGCCGGGGGCCGGGCCGGCCGCCACGACCGAGTTCCAGAGGAGGGCGTCCCGGGCGACCCGACCCCGCACCCTCCCCGCTTCCCCGGCGCCGGAGGGGCGAGGGCGCCCTGCTCTGCCCTCTCGGCGGCGCGGTGTGTGCCCCTTTAAGAAGGAGCCGCTGGAGCGCTGGCGGTTGGGATTTGAAGTTCTTCCTCTTAGGAGGGGAGGCTCCAACTATTAATATATAGTGAATTTCCCCCCCCCCCCCCCCCCGCCCTCCCGCAGTCCCAGTCCTAGTCAGGAGACCTAGTAAGACCCATCTCATACTTTTGTTTTTGTCCTTGATATTTTTAAATAAACAATGAAACTCTTTTAAACCGCATATACACTTGTTAATTAGGTTTTGCATTTTTTCAGTACCCTATATGTGAAGAATCTATTCATAGTGTGAATTGGGATTACATGTAGCTTGTGTACTTATTTCAATTTATCTTTTGCTTTTAATGTGCTTACACTCAATATTTCACTTTCTAAACATTCGCAGACCGACATTCTTTTTCCTTTGCATGTTTGTATGCGTGTGAATATACTATATGTGTATTTATAAATTTTTTTCTTGCATGTCCAGTGCTCTTACGACTTGAAATCGTTTTTATAAAATATTATTCTTTCTGCCTTTGGGGAAGGAAGTTATTCAACAGCAGTATTTTTAAATAAGGAAATTGTAAGCAATGTCTTAGGGTTGTACCACAACTTAGTATTAACCCAGTACTAATGTTTTAAATCTCAATTCCTAAAGTCTTTGATTCACTTTTTTATAATATATATAATATTCTACTTTTATGGGGAGAAAATTCATTATCCTTGTAGTTACCTAAGATGTATAATTCTTTATAAAGATACATATATATATTTATTTTTTACAGAGAAGAAGGGCGAGAGATAGAGAGCTAGAAACATCTATAGGAAAAAGAGACATAGACCAGCTGCCTCCTGCACACCCCCTACTGGGATGTGCCTGCAACCAAGGTACAATGAGATAGAGGATGATGTAAACAGATGGAAGAACATAACATGTTCATGGATTGGTAGAATCAACATCATCAAAATGTCTATACTTCCAAAGCAATTTATAAGTTCAATGCACTCCCCATTAAAATTCAACGGCATACTTCACAGACCTAGAAAGAACTCTCCAAAAATTCATTTGGAACAAAAAAAGACCTTGAATAGTCACAGCAATCCTGAGAAAGAAGAATAAAATAGGAGGGATCTCAATACCAGATTTCAAGCTGTATTACAAAGCCACTGTTCTCAAAACAGCCTGATATTGGCACAAGAACAGACACAGATCAATGGAATAGAATAGAGAACCCGGATATCAACTCAAACCTCTATACTCAATTAATATTTGACAAAGAAGGTATGAACATACAATGGAGTCAAGACAGTCTCTTCAATAAATGGTGTTGGGGAAAATTGGACAGATACATGCAAAAGAATGAAACTAGATCACCAACTTACACCATACACAAAAATAAACTCAAAATGGATACCAGACTAAAACATAAGACGGGATACCATAAAAATACTAGAACCATCCACAGGTAGCGAAATCTCAGACATATGCCAAAAGAACTTCTTCACTGATACTGCCCCTAGAGCAATGGAAGCTAAAGAGAAAATAAACAAGACTACATCAAAATAAAAAGCTTTTTTACAACAAAAGAAACCTTCAACAAAACAACAAGAAAGCCAACTGTATGGGAAAACATATTTGCAAATGTTATCACTGATAAAAGTTTAATCTCCAACATCTTCAGACAGCTTATACAGCTAAATAAAAGGAAGAGAAATGACCCAATTAAAAAATGGGCAATGGACCTAAATAGAATATTTTCAAAAGAAGACGGAAGGCCAAGAGGCACATGAAAACATGCTCAAAGTCACTAATTATCAGAGAGATGCAAATTAAAACAACAATGAGGTACCATCTTACACCTGTCAGAATGGCCAACATCAAATAAATCAAGAAACAACAAGTATTTGCGAGGTTGCAGAGAAAAAGGAACCCTCCTGTACTGCTGGTGGGAATGTAGACTGGTGCAACCACTGTGGAGAACAGTAGGGAGTTTCCTCAAAAAACTAAAAATGGAACTCCCTTTCGACCCAATAAACCCACTCCTAGGAATATATCCTAAGAAACCAGAAACACCAATCAGAAAGGAAATAGGTCAAGTTTTTTATTTATTTATTTATTTATTTATTTATTTATTTATTTTTACTTTTAATTTTGATATAATTTCAAACTTACACAAAAAGTTGGAAGAATAGTAAAAGGAACTCATATACTGTGCTTATCCACATCCACTAATTGCATTATAGTTTGCTGCATTTGCTTTATCATTCTTGCTTCTATCCATATCATTCTGTCTACCTCTCTATCCATTCATCCTTCTAACTTCTTTTGAAATAATTTGAGGGTAGTTGGCAGCTATTGTACCTCTTTAGTCCTAAATTCTTCAGTGAATATTTTCTAAAATCAAAGAAATTGTGCTTACCTAACCACAGTGTAGTTATTAAAACAGGGAGATTTAATATTGACATAATACTGTTATCTCAATCATAATCCATATTCAAATTTTATCTATTTCTCTATCTATAAACTTTCCTTTCCTTAGTCCAGGATCACACATTGCATTTTGTTGTCACATCCCTTTAGTCTCTTTTAATCGCAACACTTTCTCAGCTTCTCTTGTATTTTTTTACCTTGATATTTTTGATAAGTACAGTAATTTTGTAGAATATCTCCCAATTTGAATTTGTTATTTTCTCATGATTAGATTGGTTGTGAGTTTTTTTTTTGCCAGTACTTCCTCTGAAGAGATGTTCTGTGCTTCTTAATATTAGTATATCATATCTTGAGCTTCATGTTGTTTGCTTTGAAAATATGGTTAAAGCATTATTCCCCATACTTCTTGAAAGTAATCACTTATCCCTTTGTCATCAATATGTAATTTGGGAGAAAATATATGTCAACATGTGTCTGCATATAGCATTCCAAAAATTTTGCTATTATTATTGTTGATTTACACAGGATATTAGCAGGTTTGAGCTGTACAGTTTTGCCAATAGATTCTTTCTGGTGGGAATGCTGATGAACAATAAAAAGATCCTGAGGCATGTTAGAGGAAAAGATAGTAAGGGCTTGAATGATCTGTTTTCTATGATGTCAGAGTCATAGTTTAAAATCACAGTGTTTCACTTAGCCGAACCCTTGCTTTTGGTATATGAGACCAAAAGACATCTGATGCCTTCCATTCTAAGTAACTTTCCTAGTAACATCATAACTGTCTTAGAGATCTGCACTCCACAAGTGTTTGTAGAATGGACTTTTTTCCAAACTACCTGGCCCATCTATAATCAGCAGTTATCAATGGCAGAGAATGTTCATTTCCTATTTTTTTAAACCTCTGAAGAAGTTATATAAGAGTACTTCCTAGATGTTGAATAGGCCATAAATAAAATTCTATATAATCAACCTAATACCACTTTCTGACTGCTGCTGGCTTTTTCCTCTTTTGACTTTCCACTAATGTCTAGCTCATCAGTCACTGTTGCAATATAAATCCCAAAAGAGTGGATTCACTTAGAAATCTGGATTTGGTAAGGACTGGTATGGTGGGCCAACTACCCTAAGACCTTGGCTATTCAACTATTTGTTCAAGCACTGGCAAGTTTTTTATCCACTTAAAAAGATATACGGTAAACTGCGACACTGCCTAATAGCATGCATTAGACAAATGGACTTAGAAGTAGTTGGATAGTTAAGATAGATAGATAGATATCCAAATATCTCTGTAAAATAAGTTATCAATGAATTTTGCATGCAAGATTTAAAATTCTGACTACTCCTGAATTATTTTATACTTGGAAGTGTAAAATTCTGCCACCTGTGTGAATTTTGTGTTTTAAATTAGATTCGGGCTACAGGCAGTTGGAGCATAATATAGCATCCTTTCTACGTGGAGCTGTCTCTTCATGCCCATGCTACTTTCCTTGGCTGACTACATGCATGCACACCTTCCTGTTTGGCTTTGCAGTGACAACTTGGTGTTTATTGTGTCCTGTATGTTTCCCTGTCTTTTTTAAAATTATTATTATTAAGGTATTATATGTGTACCTATCTTTCCATTGCCCCTCTTCCTTCCCCCCCCCTTCCCCTGTCTTGTATGACTGAACCCTGGTGGTTCTATCACAGTGCTGTCCTGGGAGGAGCAACACAGGCATTCTGATATGTGGATATGTAATTTCTTTTTCCTTACTAGTAAGTCCAGTCTTTCTATTATAATAACCTACATTTTTTATGTGTGAGTTTCTTTTTTGCCAGCATTCATGGGTGATAGATAACAGTGGGTTTGAGCACCAAATTCATAGATTCAACATTTTGGAGACCCATTTAACTTTTTTATTATGAGAGTCCATACTGGGTTTGAATTTACCGTATTATCAAATAATTCATTCAAAAGGGTTGTTTTTTTTTCCCCACCACAGAATATAGATAGGAGAATGTGAATAGGCTCAGACCAACCTACTGCTTCCGTTAGGAAACTAAGGTAACAATATCATATTTGTATTTGAATAATGGCACTTTATCTTTAAAGCTAAATAAAAATGTTGCTTTCAGATTTGTGTTTTCTAGAAAATAAAACTTCTGAGAAATCACTTTTTTTTTTTATGTTTTTTATTGACTTCAGAGAAAGGAAGGGAGAAGGGGAGAGAGATAGAAACATCAGTGATGACTGTCTCCTGCATGTGCCCTGGCCAGGAATGGAACCATAACCTCCTGGTTCATAGGTTGATGCTCAACCACTGAGTCACATTGTCTAGACTGGAATCACTTTTCTAAACATCTTATTTCCTTTCCTTGCCATTTGTAGAGTTTTTTCCTAATTGGCAACAATCCTACCCTGCTTGCTTATATTTGTTTCTTTTTCTTTCTTTACCCTAATATTATTACCACATTATTTTAAAGAAAGTATTGTTACAAGTATCCATGTTGCTGCATGTGTCAGTAGTTTGTTCCTTTTGCTATGTAGTATTCTATTGTACCAGTTTGATTTTTCATTCAATGGTTGAAGGACATTGGATTGTTTCCAGTTTGGGGTAAATTTGAATGAAACTCTATAAATACTTGTGTATTTGTGCAAATGTAGTTTTCATTTCTGTTTGGTAAATATTGGTAAATATTTAGGATTGAGATTGTTTGATCATGTGGTAGTGCCTGTTTAAATTAGTAGAGATTGTCAAAGTTTTCTAAAATGATTGTGCCAGCCCTAACCGGTTTGGCTCAATGGATAGAGTGTAGGTCTGCGGACTGAAGGGTCCCAGGTTCGATTCAGGTCCATGGCATGTGCCTTGGTTGCGGGCACATCCCCAGTAGGAGGTGTGCAGGAGGCAGCTGATCGATGTTTCTCTCTCATCAATGTTTCTAACTCTCTATACCTCTCCCTTCCTCTATTATAAAAAATCAATAAAATATATTTTTAAAATAAAATGCTTGTGCCATTTTGCATCCCACCAGCAATTTATGAGAAATCCAGTTTAGTAACTTATATAGGAAGAGGCTATATATTTTGTTCAATAGAATGACATCCTAAAATTGTTTGTTTGCATGGTTAATTTTTGGAGTCCATTGACCACAGCAAAATAGAATTAGATTATCTTAGTAATAGAAAGAGATTTGGGGCTCATTCAGTCTGAGGTTTTAACCAGTAGGAAAGTTCTTGAAAGCACTCTCTGGTTCTAGTTCACTCACTTTTCTGCCTGAAATGTCCACTCATGGGAACTAGTACCGAATCATTTCACAAAGATTTTATTAAGTGCATGTTGTCTACATCCCATGATAACTACTTTGTCAAATCCAAGACATCGTAAGTTATTAGGGGTCCAGTGCACGAAATCATGCACCTCAAAAGGAACTGTGGGCCTCGAGGCTGCAGTAGGCACAGGGTTGGGTCTCGGCCCATCCTCTCGTCCCCACCTCACCCTTCCCACTGCAGCCTCAGTCACCTGTCTGCCCACAGCCCTGCTCCCACATGCTGAAGGCACGCAACAATTGGGGCTGATGTCATTAGCGGGTGTGAGTGGCAGCTGCTGCCCCGATCACCCCTCAGGAGTAGGGGGTGGTGGAGAAGCCCTCAGGGGATTTCAGGGCCAGCAGCCCAGCCATCAGGACTGGTACCAGCAATGGGTGCGAGCAGCAGCTCCAGCTGTGGGTGTGAGCGGGGCCATCGCTGGCAGCGGGTGTAAGAAGCGGCTGCTAACCCTGATCTCCTCTCAGAAGCAGGGGAAGGTGGAGAAGCCCTGAGGGGCAATTGGTGCTGGCAGCCACTGCTTACTTCCACTGATGGCACCAACCGATTTGGGCCAGTGCTGGGTGCCAGCAGTGGGTATGAGTGGTAACTATAGCGCCAGCAGAAGGTGGAAGTGCCAGGCAGGACCATGGAGGACAGGAGTGAAGAATTTTCACTAACCACCAGAGGTTCGCCCTGATGACAGTGACCCGTGTCCCGCCTTGGTTTGGCACCCCTGCTCACCTGCTCCACCATCCTGCCACAGCCAACACCCACCATGTTTCACTCACACCTCCTGGTGGTCTCAGTGCATGTCATAGAAACCGGTTGTTTGGTTGTTCGGTTGCACCAGTTGTTCCACCATTTAGTCTATTTGCATATTATCATTTTATTATATAGGATAATATGCATCATTTCTTCATGCTCTATGTGAAAAAATGTTACTTTTTTTTTTTTTTACCATGACACATCATTGACTTGAATATGCATCTTGATTATAGAGATGTTAACATGTCTTTTTAAAGCATGAGTTATGGAACATTTCTAGAGTAATATTTCTGCATTTTTACAATTTAGGAATATCACTGAGAAAAATATCCTTTACCTTTCTTTCATTTTTCCAATCTATCATTCTATCTTTTCTCTCCCTAATGTAAGCAATCTTTAAATAATACCTTTTGTTAATTTCCCAGTTAATTTGCTATTCTGATAATTTTCCATTGGATGCCTTGTAGTTTTAAAAAAAAAAAAACTGCTTAAAATTTAATATAATACAGATTTTAAAAAGAAAATTGGAAAATGTTAAGATTAGTATATCCAGAAAGTGGAACACTATAAGTTCTTGAACGAGGTTTCTAACTTGACAAGGTTTTTAATAACAGTCCATACCTATGAATAAATTATTGTCATGATTTTTATAAGTAGATTAACACTTTATACCTCAATATTCTTTAATCCTCACCCGAAGATATGTTTGATTTTAGAAAGAGAGAGGAAAGGGGAAGGGGGAGACAGATGGGGGAACATGGATGTGGAAGAGGAACGTCACTTGATTGCCTCCCGTAGGTGCCACCACAGGGATCAAACCCACAACCTAGTTATGTGTCCCAACCTGGAATTGAACTGCAGCCTTTTTTGGTGTCCTGGACGGTGTTCCAACCAACTGAGCCACCTGGCCGGGCCATCATACTTTGCATAGTAAGAATTTCTCCCCATTGACACTCATTTACTCACTTTAGTAATTGAGGTTAAACATGCTACTTTTTATAAGCTAATATATGTTGTTACAGGTATAAACAGAATTATACATCTTTTCTAGTTATTCTCCTCTCTACAAAATTATTACAAAAGAAAACTGCCCATAATAATTTATCCTGGGAATATTTCTAAATGACAGAAATGTTTATCTGTTTTAGTAGTGAATATTTACATTTGAATATTTCTTTATGATCATGTAATTTCTGATAATTATTGTATGACATATTATGTATTGCCTAGTTCAAATTAACTCAACTATAGGAGAAATTATACTTTATAGTGTTAAATTTGCTGATTCTTATAGAGTTTATGGTTTTTTTGTTATTATAAAATTAAGCTTCCTTTCATAGTTAATATTCTTTTCTTTCTTTAATAACACAGGTTTTGAGAGTATTTTAGAAGGGCTTTATGGACCACGGCTACGAAGAGACCTCAGTTTATTTGAAGGTAATGTTTTATTTCAAAATTTTAACCTTCTGTCCCATTTAAGAAATGAGAAATGGTTGTTCTGCACTAACTTTATACTAAGCATGAATTTGTGTTATTGTTTAATTGGAAAATATTTTAAATGAATACATACAGTGATCCAAATATTCCTATTATTAAATGATGTCATAATCTTTACAAATTTAGTTCACTGATCAAAATTGAAAGTGAATTTTGTTTTGGCTCAGTGGTAAAATTTGGTTTTTGTCATTTTATACATTACGTTCCCTGCCTTATTCTTTTTTTTAAAGAGGACTTAAAGGGATTCAAGTTGCCTGTTGCTTATGATACAGGCAGTCTAAAACTTGGATTGCCAACTGAGAAATCCTGTCATATGTGGTCAGAGTTTTCTATTTATGTATAGCCTCCTCTATTTATGATAGCCCACCCTTCCAAATGTTGTTGCATTAATGCTGGTGTAAGATTTTGATCTGGGATATAATGGCTGTGGTAGCATAGTTTAGCTGTTTTACTGCTTGCTTGGAAACATAGAGCACAGGGAGAGAGCATTTTTGTAGGCATGTGAAATTGAATAGTACAGTTCATTTACAAAATGGGTAATAGATTTTCTACTTTGATTTTGATTGAATTATTTCTGTATCTTGTCACCTTTTATATATATATATATATATATATATATATATATATATATATATATATTTTTTATTGATTTTACAGAGAGGAAGGGAAAGAGATAGAGAGCCAGAAACGTCGATGAGAGAGAAACATCGACCAGCTGCCTCCTGCACACGCCCCATCGGGGATGTGGCCGCAACCAATGTACATGCCCCTGACCGGAATCGAACCCAAGACCTTTCAGTCTGCATACCTACGCTCTACCACTGAGCCAAACCAGTTCGGCATCTTGTCACTTTTTAATGCTGACTCTTTTACCTTTTGCCCTTTTCTGGTACCTTCCATTCTACTATGACTAAAGTCCTATCTAATAGCTTAAAGGCCTTCTCTCTGTGGATGTAAGTCCTTTGAGTTGAGGTAATTATAGTGATAGTTAGAGTAGTCCGAAGTTTTCTGTTCATTCTTTGTTATTGTTGAGGAGGTTATTGAGCTATGAATCATAGAGCTTACAGTATCTATGCAAGATCATTTGTTCCAACCACCCATCTTCAACCAGATGAGTGACATCCATGCAGAATATGACCATAAGGACTAAGACTTCAACATATACTCATTCCAATGTTTTATCATTCTGTGGCTAAGATCTTTATCTTCTATCTTTTAAACTTTCAACATCTCTCACTGTGTCACAGCTTAACACTAAATTAAATATTTTTACCTGTTATAAGCAAAACTGACTAATTATAGTTTCACCTTTTTTTCTGAGCTTATAAATAAAGGAAAAATCTAAAGAAATAAGAGTTTAACCTATGCTTGGTATTTCATGAGCCTACTGTTCTTTCATTCATGTCAGAAGGCAGCATTATACTTAATTGCTTTCTGATAATCCAAAGTCCAACTTGTGATTTGTAGACCCCTGCTTTCAATTATTTACATATGTAGTTATGAATATATGTATGTATTTATGCTCCTTCTTTAGTTATTACACAAAGGGCAGAATATTCTAAGGAATTAATACCCGTATTTTATTTTTTGACTATTATTTCTTTTGTGTACAAGTAACACATGTTTATTTTAGGAAATTATAAAATATAAATGAGCCCAAAAGTAAAAAATTAGTCCATGCCCCAGAGATAACCTTTAACATTTTTATATATGTTTAAAATACGATAGTATGTATTTATTGATTTACTAAAGTAGTATATACTGTACATATAGTATACAGTTTTTATACCTACTGTGTTTGTTCACTAGTGTATCATTTGGGTATATAAAATTTTTTTTTAATTTTTATTGTTCATATTATTACAAATGTTCCTCATTTTTTCCCCCTGCATTGCTCCCCTCCACCAGGTTCCCACCCTACCCTCTGCCCTTTCCCCACCCCCCATTGTCCTCATCCATAGGTGCACAGTTTATGTTCAATCTCTTCCCACACCTCCCCACTCCCTTTTTCCCCGAGAATCGTCAGTCCACTCCCCTTCCATACCTCTGATTCTATTATATTCAAAAGTTAATATTGTTCATCAGGTTTTTTAATTCCCTTGATTTTTAGATTCACTTGTTGATAGTTACATATTTGTTGTTCATAATTTTTATCTTTATTTTCTTCCTCTTCCTAAAGAACCCCCTTCAGCAATTTATATAATTCTGGTTTGGCGGTGATGAACTCCTTTAGCTTTTTTTTTATTATTATTAGTGAAGCTCTTTATCTGGCCTTTGATTCTGAGTGATAGCTTTGCTGGGTAGAGTATTTTTGCTATTCATCATCTTGAATATTTCTTGCCATTGCCGTCTGGCCTGCATGGTTCTCTTGAGAAATCATCTGACAACCGTATGTGTGCTCCTTTATAGGTAACTACCTGCTTTTCTCTTGCTGCTTTTAATATTCTCTCTTTGTCTTTTGCTCTTGGAATTTTAATTATGATGTGTCTTGGTGTGGTCCTCTTTGGGTTCCTTTTGTTTGGGGTTCTGTGTGCTTCCTGGACTTGTAAGTCTAATTCTTTCCCCAGGTGGGGGAAGTTTTCTGTCACTATTTCTTTCAGTATGTTTTCAGTGTCTTGCTCACTCTCTTCTTCTGGGACCCCCTTAATTCTATTGTTTGTTCGCTTGAAGTTGTCCCAGAGGTTTCTTACACTATCTTCAACTTTCTGGATTCTCTTGTCTTCTTGCTTCTGCGGGGGAGTGTCCTCTGGCTCTTTGTGTTCCACATCTTTGACTTGATTCTTGTTCTTTCTGTTTTAGGACTCTGTATAATATTTTTTATTTCAGACAATGTATTCTTAATTTCTTGTTGATCCCTTTTCATATCCTCATAGATCTCGTTTATCGGCCTTTCTAGGAAATTCTTGAAAAACCTTATAAATGTGGTTTTGAACTCTATCCAGTCGCTTTTCTCCATCTTTTGTTTGTGATCTGTTTCCTTGTCTCGGCATTTTCACAGTTTCCCTGAGTTGATAGGGTTGCTTTGTGTGTTAAGGTGTTCTATATGGTTCAGTGGGTCAGCCTCCCAATTATCTGAGGTAGACACTCTTGGTGCATCCCTTTGTGGACTGTGTGTATAGCCTTTAATAGTTAGGTTTTAATTGTTGGTCTAGGCTCTCCCCCAATGAACCCGGAACTGGGGGTCAGTGCAGTTGGAAGTGGGGTTCAGTGCAGTCTAGAGCTTTTGTCTCCTTCCAGCTAGGGCAATCCAGCTGCACAGTCAACAGTCAGTCCTCTGCACACAATGTGCTCGACTCTGGGGCTTTTCCTTTCGCCACTCCCCTGAGTTTCCGCCTTACAGCCTAGAATTCCTCTGTATGAGCCTGGGACCCCAGGGTCTCGCCCCGAACTGAGGTTCAGTGCAGTCGGAACTGGGGTTCAGCACAGTCCGGAGCTTTTATCTCCTTCCCACTAGGGAATGCCAGCCAGGCACTCAGCCGCCCTTCCTCTCTGGCTCCGTTCTCTCCCCATGTGTGCACTATGTCTTCGTACCTTAGGCTTTTACAGCTCCTCTGATTTTCCTTCTGGTTTTCTCTTTCCTTCTAGTTGAAGAATTTCCATTCAGTCAACTTTCCTGTAGTTCTGGATAATGTCCACTTTATATTTTAGTTGTATTTTTTGAAATTGTTGTGTGAGGCTGCGGTTAGGCGTTTACTTATGCTGCCATCTTGGTTTCTTTCCGGGTATATAAAGTTCTTGATCATTATTCTAAATGGCTGTACAGTATTACATTGTGGATCTATTATAACAGATTTATCTAATTAGTTAATTTCATACCCCACTGCAGTATATCTTATTCCATTTATTTTTTAATTCCAATAGATTTTGTACTTTATCTTTTGTACATTTTTTTTTGGTAGGGTATTTATAAAATCAGCTAAGCTTTGAAATTCAATCTTTTTCTCTTATATAGGCACATAATTTCATTGTCCTTTCTCATCCCTAATGTTCTAGATTTTTTCCAAATTTCATAGGAAAATTCTTATTTCTTTTTTTAATTAAAAAGACTTCTAATTAAAGTTGCTTCAGTATGATTGCACTAATCCAATGTAATAAAAGCCTAATTGCAAATTGTCCCCTCCCTTGGTCGGTCATATGATTGCTTGCTATTACATGTGCTGACCACCAGAGGGTGGGGCAGAACATGGTGGGCATTGGCGACGCAGCGCTGGCAATGGGCACTCAGGTGCCAGTTGTCAGGTGCCTGTGAGGAACCTGCCCCACACTCTGGGTGAGCTGGACTGGGACTGCAGGGGCCGATCATGTTCCCTGTGGATTCTCGCAGGTGTTGGTCTACAATGTATAAAAACATGTCTCCAAACATCATGGTGTTTGTAATGCCAAGATTAGAGAAACAAGCTTAATTAGCCAATAATAATATGCTGATTAAAAAGTTAAATTCATCTCTTTGATGGACTATACTTATCCTTTAAAAATGATATAGAAGTATATTTGAGATGGAAAGTATTTGTGATAAATAAGCATGTATATAATATGATTCTCATTTTTAAAATAAATAGTATTTTTGAGAGCAGTTTTAAATTTACAGAAAAATCTAGTAGAAAGTATGAAGAGTTCCCATACTCCCTCTTCCCCTTGTCTTAGGTACCCCCATATTAACACCTTTCATTAATGGTACATTTGTTACAGTTGATGAACTAATATTGATGCATTAACTAAAGACTCGATAATTTTTAATAGGTTTTTCTATGTGTATGTACATTTGTGTGGGTTTTGCCAAATATACAATGTCACATATATACCACTAGAGTATCATACACAATAGTTTTCCCTAAAAATCAGTCCTCTCCCTTGTTCCTATACTATGTCAAACACTGATCTTTTCACTGTCTCTATAGTTTTTTCTTTTCCAAAAGGTGATATACTTGTAGTCATACAGTGTTTAGCCTTTTTACACTTCTTTCACTGAGCAATATGCATTTAAGTTTCCTTGCTGTATTTTTTCACTTTTCATTGGGTTTTGTCTTTGGGAACTACTCTATTTCTTAAAGTTAAAGGCTACTGAATAGAAAAAAAATATTCAAAATAAATATTATTATTTAAAATAAAGGTATTAGGGCTTATTAGGTGTTTTGCCTATTTTTATTTAATTTTTACTACGTCCTTAAGCTGCAATTTATTATCATTTTACAGAGAGGGAAACCGAAGCTCAGAGAAAGTAATTTGCTCAAAGCAATATCTGGAATGTGGAAAACCCATGGTTCAGTACTAAGGTTTTCTAATTTCCAAGCCTGTTACCTTTCCAAGATAGATTAGGTTAAATTAGTGGTCGGCAAACTCATTAATCAACAGAGCCAATTATCAACAGTACAATGCTTAAAATTTCTTTTGACAGCCAAATTTTTTAAACTTCTTCTAATGCCACTTCTTCAAAATAGACTTGCCCAGGCCATGGTATTTTGTGGAAGAGCCACACTCAAAAGGCCAAAGAGCCGCATGTGGCTCGCGAGCCGCAATTTGCTGACCACGGGGTTAAATGATTGGAGGAAAACTGACTATAAGAGTACTTGCCAACAGTAGAAAGGATGGTCATTCATTTACTCTCAGTTTTCATTATAACATTGCCCTTTTTAAAAAAAATATATTTTTGTTGATTTCTGAGAAGGGAGAGGTAGAAACATCAGTGATGAGAGAGAATCATTGATTGGCTGCCTCCTGCACAGCCCCTACTGGGGATAGTACCCACAATGTGTGCCCTTGACTGGAATCCAACCTGGGACCCTTCAGTCCACAGGCCAACCCTATATCAACTGAGCAAATAGGCTAGGACGTGACATTAATAAGGTTGTACCTGTAAAGTACACAATTTGACCCTTTTGAACTTATACAATCATGTATTAAAATTTTCAAAATGAGAGACAACTTAAAGAAGATATTTGATTCATTGTCAAAGTGTATTTGAAAGAGAAAATGATTATGTTCTGTTTTTATTTAGTTCTTATTTAATTTTTATGACATAAAAAGACAACCTGTACAGAGGAAGAAATTGGTTCTACAGTTGACTTTTCAAAACCTGTTTACACACACACACACACAAACACACACACACATAAATCCTACCATCATTTATTTGGACTAAAAAATCAAAAGTTGCTGGAGAGCCGAGACCGGTTTGGCTCAGTGGATAGAGCGTTAGCCTGCGGCCTGAAGGGTCCCAGGTTCAATTCCAGTCAAGGGCATGTACCTTGGTTGCGGGCACATCCCCAGTGGGGGAGGTGTGCAGGGGGCAGCTGATCGATGAGTCTCTCTCATTGATGTTTCTAACCCTCTGTCCTTCTCTCTTCCTCTCTTTAAAAAAATCAATAAAATATATTTTTTTTAAAGTTGCTGGAGAAAGAGCAATTTTTAAGTATTTGTGAAATCATAGATTTTTTTTAACCCAGCAAAATTTATTGGCATTTATGTAATCATTGATTATTCATTGCTCTTTATTTAACTTTGTAGACATTTATTTTAATTAACATTTCCTTGAAGAATTTCTGAAGTAAATGATGATAATCTCAGCATGCCCGATTTTATTTTACAACTGGTAATGGTTTTAATAATCCAAAGTCATCCTTTGAATCAACATATTTATTATGGAAGCCTTACAATGTTTTTTCAGATATACCCCTTCCCTAGCCTACCACCTATTTTTTAAAAATCAAAATGCTGATTGCTTTCATATTCCCTATTAATGCAGTTATAATTTTAAAAAAGCAGTTTAGATTTCATTGACTTCTGCTTAGCACGAGTCAAGTTTTTGCTACAGTAAAGTTGCATAACAAACAGCTCCAAAATCTGTTTCATGCTTATGTGTGATCAGAGTCACTGAATTCCAGGCTGTGGATGGGATCATATTACCTCATGACTACAGGTCACGGACGAAAGCAGTAATGATTATATGAAGCAAGTTCTTCACACATTGGATGGTGGAAGCTCAGAACTGGAAGAACTCTCATGCATTTTTATGGAATGGTATACTGTCACTTCTCCATATACATCCCATTGGTCAGACAGCTCTGGCCCCCTAGTAAGAGACCCCATGATCCTGCATTCAAAAGTGTGAATGAGCCGAGACCGGTTTGGCTCAATGGATAGAGCGTTGGCTTGGGGACTGAAGGGACCCGGATTCGATTTCGGTCAAGGGCATGTACCTTGGTTGCGGGCATATCCCCAGTAGGGGGTGTGCAAGAGGCAGCTGATTGATGACTCTCTCTCATCGATGTTTCTAACTCTCTATCTCTCTCATTTCCTCTCTGTACAAAATATATTTTTTTAAAAAAGTGTGAATGAATGTGTGATTCTGTTCCAGTGACAGAGTGAAAGGTTGAAAAAAATTATAAATACATGTAGCTACACTTCTGGATTTTTAATTGTATAGATTGCATAAACTTTTTCATTTGTCTGGTTGTTTACAAAAGCATGTTTAATATCTTAATCAGATATTAAATTAAAATTACCTGCCTTTTGCAGCCTAACCTTATTAAATATAAGTGTGATAGTATAGGAGTTAAAATAGACTGGTAATTCTACCTTGTTCATAGTTTTTGCATGTTTATAGTTTATAAAGTATTTCACTTTTTCCTTTTCATTTGATCCACAAATAAGTGATGGTGGGATCCTTATTTTATAGGTGTAGAAATTAAAGAAAAAACTTTATGGCTAGACTAGTTAGAGCTAGTAAGTTAAAATCCTAGATTTTCATAGACTTCACATATAGTTATCTTTCCTTTATTCTTTACTGGATCTTATATTCCTATTTGCTGTGTTTTCCAAGTCCAAATAAATATCAGGAATATTTCTGGATCACTGCCAAAAATCAAAGGAAGCTATCACTACACTTTATATTCCAAAAATTATATTATCTTCTATGCAAATGTATGTTTGCATTGAAGCAAGAGTATCCTAAGGGCTGATTCTAACTAAATTTTACTCATAATCACTTCAACAACAGATAAGGGTATTTTCTGGGTAGTTTACCAGAAACATATTCAACTTCATTATGTATTTCAAAAGTATGAGAGTAAATTACTATGGTACAACTGCCTCACATTGATTATGGTTTGAGGCTCTACATATGAATTTATTTGGGAAAAGAAATTGGTGGGAGGGGGGGTAGTTCTGTTACTGGGGTAAGTTTCAAAAATCACTATCTATACCAAGTATAGTTGGGATGACAATGTTATATCTTCAGAAAATCTTTCATTACACAATGTTTGTTTTCCACAAATACTATATATTCTAGTAGTTGAATTATACGAAACATTCTTCTGAAAAAAGTCATGTTGTATGTTGAATGATATAACTTGTTTACCTGGTTTTTCTCTAACTCTTGCAACAAAGCCTTTAAACAACGTAATAAAATCTGGTCTGACTTTTTAGCTGTGGATTTCTTTTTTCTTAGCATTCCATGTTCTCAAATCTGTGGGCTTTTCTGGTATTTTACTTCATTTCTCCGTTTTATGTTATCTTTCATAATATGCAAAATTTATTCCTTTCCCTCCATATCTCTTGGTTCTGATTTATATCATATTGAAAATAAAAAATGTAATAGGCAGTGATAAATTGAGTCTTTCAGAAGGCTAGATGAACTCTATAGTTAGAAAATTAATTTATAACCAGCTCATTGTTCTTGTTACTTTGTCCCATAATAGTGCAAAAATACTCTCCTTATAGCCTTCTCTGTTTCTTTCTTTCTAGATGTCACCATTTCATTTAGGTGTTTTTCCCTTACTGTTAGTAGTTATTTATTTATTTATTTATTTATTTATTTATTTATTTTTATATGAGCCATTGCTCTGGAGAGTGGTATTTTTATTTTAATAAAGTTAGTGTATTTAATGAATATTTTTCCCTCTTTTAAAGACTGTGAACCAGAAGAACTGACTGACTGGTCTATGGATGAAAATTGTTCATTTTGTAACCTACAAAGAGAAGCAGATAATGTAAGTTTTACTGCTATGAAATTATCTCTAAACTATTTGCACAATTGTAACAATTTTTAAATATAATTTGTTTTAGAATTTGTGACTTATATAATATAAATACTTGATTTTTCTACTGAGAAGAATTTTAAAGTCTGTTAGAAGTCTAACATTCACCTTATCTAGTAGGTGAAAATCCCAAACCACTCATATTTTTGCTTATGTCATACTTCTTTCTCATAGCTCCCTGACTCATGAAATCAGTTCTGATCTGTTTTGTATTTACATAGACAAGACTGATGATCCTGGAGGCCTGGTTTGGTCTAAGACCATCCTAAGACCTTTCTTTCTTTCTTTCTTACTTTCTTTCTTCCTTCCTTTCTTTTTTTTTTTAATATGTTTTATTGATTTTTTTTACAGAGAGAAAGGAAGAGGAATAGAGACTTAGAAACTTCAATGAGAGAGAAACACCGACCAGCTGCCGCCTGCACACCCCCAACTGAGGATGTGCCTGCAACCAAGGTACAATGCCCTTGACAGGAATCGAACCTGGGACCTTTCAGTCCACAGGCTGATGCTCTGTCCACTGACCCAAACCACTTTTGGCTAATTTCTTAGGAATCAGTAGTTGGAGGATAATGTGGTACTACTAAAAAAGTTTTAACTTTTTTCTATCTCTTGAAGTCTTTTGCATATCGTAATTTTATCCTGTGTAAATTATTAAATATTAGTGTCTACTGTAAACAGGACAGAAACTAGACAAGCAGCATCTTCTTGTATAGTGGGATCCTAATTCTTTATGTTCTGTTGTGAGAGGTCTGAAAGGAAATGAGAACTCTAGAACCTGTACCTATTTTGGTTAGATTAGTAGGTAAACATAACTGCTTTGTTAAAAATTCTCATTGCTAGCATGTTATTTAGTGAAGTTATTCAGCAATATATCTTATCTGCTCTTCTCTTTTTTGATTATACTTTTGCTAAGAAATAAGGCTAATTTGGCCCTCTGTCAGAGCTAAATATTTTTCCTGACTCTTGTTTCAAATTTAATATTCTCTATATAATTTTATATATTTAAAAGATAGAACAAATGAGCATTTAGAGTTAATTTTTTTGCCATTTTTAATGGAATCCCACAGTTAGAAAGTGATTTTTTAATGTTGGTGTTTCTTTTTTATATATATAATTTTAGGATTGTGTACCATCTCTTGATTCTTCACAGTCAACACCAACAGAGGAGCTATCATCTCAGGGCCAGTCCAACACTGAAAAGATTGAATGCCAAGCAGAAAATTACCTAAATGCACTCTTTCGAAAGAAAGGTAATGTTGATATACATTTTTTATGCTTCTGGTCTTCCTTATTTTGTTACCGTTCTCAAGACTTCAAATGTTCTTCCATGTTTAATAAGTGATATTGTAAAATTATCCTTAGAATAAGTTAATAGCATTTACTGGCTATTTCTTGGGTAGCATGAGTATGCTTACTTGACATTAAAATGTCAGTGTTTAATTCCTGTTGATATCTAGACCAGTGGTCGGCAAACCTCGGCTAGCAAGCCACATGCAGTTCTTTGGCCCCTTGAGTGTGGCTCTTCCACAAAATACCACGTGGGGGCGCTCACGTACGGTGCAATTGAAACTTCTTGGCCCATGCACAGAAGTCAGTTTTTGGCCTGGGAGAGTCTATTTTGAAGAAGTGGCCTTAAAAGAAGTGGGGGTGTCGGTCCGGCGACTGGAGACACGGTGCGGGGGAGGTTCGTGCGAGTTGAGTGAGCCAGTCAGTCAGCATTCTCATTGTGCAGTGGTTAGTGCTGGTCGTGACCGCAAATTGCACACGAGTGACAAAAGTACCTACTTGAAGCATAAAGTTACCTGTATTTTTCCAACCAGCTACAAATACTACAGGTATTTTTGTCATCAATTTAAGAATTGTAATTATTTTTGTTGGTGGCTTTATTATTATAAAATGAAACTTTTTTTTAGGTGCCATGTTTGACATGGCTACAAAGAAGAAGCAAAGAAAAACAGAAGACGAAAACCGTGAATTTAAAGTTGAATGGACCGAGACTTTCGCCTTTATTCAAAACTTAAATGGCCTTCCGACCTGTCTTATTTGTCAGGAAAAATTGGCACATAACAAGAAATCAAATTTGGAGAGACACTTTACAACCAAACACGTGTCATTTAGTACTAAATATCCTGTCGGTGATGCAAGGAAGAAGGCAGTTGAGGAACTTCAGAAGAGTCAAGAAAAATCAAGTTCTATGTTTAATTACGGGATGCAGTCTTCCAACAATGTTAATATTGCAAGTTTTGTGGTTAGTCAAGAGATTGCTAAGAGAGGAAAACCATATACAGACGGCGAATACATAAAAAGTTGTTTTATAAATGTATCCGAAAAGCTATTTCGAGATTTTAAGAACAAAGGAGATATTCTAAAAAAAATTAAAGAGTTACCATTGTCTGCTAAAACAGTGAAAGATAGAACAGTCAAAATGTCTTCGAATATAACTGACCAGCAAGTTGAAGATCTTAAATTGGTTTCATCTTTATCAATTGCAGTTGATGAGTCTTGTGACATAAATAATACAGCACAAGTTTCACTTTTTGTACGATTTGTTTCATCTACAGGTCCTAAAGAAGAACTTTTAGGATTATTGCCACTCAAAGGTCAAACAAGTGGAGAGGATATAGCAAATTCTGTAATTGAGTGCATTGAAAGACATCATATTCCACTTGATAAAATTGTCTCAATTTCAACAGACGGAGCAAAAAGTATGACCGATGTAAGAAACGGATTTGTTGATATTTTGAAAGAAAAAATTAATCATGAGATACTTACTTACCATTGCATCATTCATCAAGAAGCTCTTTGTGCGCAGACATTTCCAGAAGAAATTTGCAAAGTTATGGAATTGGTGATTCACATGATCAATTCCATTATAGCTAAAGCTCCTAATCATTGCCAATTTAAAGAATTTTTAGTTGAAATGGAGAGTGAATACCCAGATCTTCTGCTGCATAACAAGGTACTTTGGATATCAAGAGGAAACGTTTTGAAACATTTCGCTTCCTTATTAACAGAAATTAAAGCATTTCTCCTTGAGAAGGGTGTTCACTATCCAGAACTAATGAACGATCAGTGGATCCAAAAATTTTATTTCATGGTAGACGTTACGTCTCATCTAAATCAGCTTAATCATAAACTACGGGGGAAAGGAAACACAATTTTTTCAATGTTAGAAGAAGTCATTTCATTTGAAAATAAATTATCTCTTTTTGCTCAAGATTTTGAAAGAGAAACTTTGATTCACTTTCCAAGCCTATTGAAACATCGCCAAGAAAACAATTCTGATATTGACATTTGCTATTTCAAAACAACACTATTAAATATGAGGGAAGCTTTTCTCAATAGGTTTAAGGAATTAAGAAACAGCAAAGCAACCTTAGCCTTTGTTAAAAAACCTCTTAATGCTACTGTAACAGAATTAAATTTTTCTCCTTTTAATATTGACATTGGCAACTTTGAAATGCAACTGCTGGATTTAAAAAACAAAGAATTGTGGAGCTCGAAATTTGAACGTCTTTGTGCTGATATAGAAATATTGGAGAAAAACAAATGTGAACTCAGTTCACAGAATAAGTGGTCTGCTTTGAAACACCTGGAGAAGGAAGATATGTTGATTTTTAACACCTGGAATAGTATTCCTGACTCATATAATCAACTGAAAAAACTAGCGTTTGCTGTTCTGTCCTTATTCGGGTCTACATATTTATGCGAACAGTCATTTTCAAGCATGAACCTTATCAAGAGTAAATTGAGAAGTCGTCTTATTGATGAGAACCTGGAATCGCGAGTAAAATTAAAAACAACAACATACAAACCTGACTTACCCAAACTTTCCAAGGAGATGCAAGGCCATTGTTCACATTAGTGTTTGTCAGTCATTGTCATGATTTAATTTTATGTATATTGTAAAGTAAATTGTAAAGAATTTAATTTTATCAATAAATAATATCATTATTAAGTATGATACCAAATTTTATTTAACGTACCTATAGTTTAATTAACTAAGACTTAAAACTTTAAGTAAAGTTTATTAAGTTAATTTTAGAGAACGTTGTGGAGTGAAAGAAGATGTAGTGTCAAGGATTGAGAAAGTTATATTGAGATGATTTGGACATATAGAGAGGATGAACAACAGGAGATAGACGAAACAAGTATACAAGACAAGTGTGGATGGGAGAGTTGGAAGGGGTCTACCTCAGTGAACATACCTCACTCAGATTGAGGAGGTTTTTAGCGAAGGCCAGCTTAGGAGTACCCTAATTCTATATAATAAAAGAGTAATATGCAAATTGACCATCACTCTTAACACACAAGATGGCTGCCCCATGTGGACAAAAGATGGCTGCCAAAAGATGGCCAGCAAGGGAGGGCAGCTGGGAAGGACCAGGCCTGTAAGGCAGGGCAGTTGAGGGCAATCAGGCCTGCAGGGAAGAACAGTTAGAGATGACCAGGCCTGCAGTGGAAGGCAGTTTGGCATCAATAAGGCTGGCAGTGGAGTGGTTAGAGGGTTATCAGGGTGGCAGGCAGAAGTGTTTAGGGGCAATCAGGAAGTTAGGGAGGTGAGCAGTTGGGAACCAGCAGTCCTGGATTGTCAGAGGGATGTCCAATTGCCCGTTTAGGCCTGATTCTACAAGGATCAGGCCTAAATGGGCAGTCAGACATCCCTCGAGGGGTCCCAGATTGGAGAGTTGAGAGGTTGGCTGAGGGACACACACCCCTGTGGATGAATTTTGTGCACCAGGTCTCTAGTTAAGTTAAAAACAATGTATCTACCTATGTAGTTTTAAAAATTTGGCTCTCAAAAGAAATTTCAATCATTGTACTATTGATATTTGGCTCTGTTGACTGATAAGTTTGCCGACCACTGCCATAGACCAAGAGGAGAACAGGGAATTATCAATGACAAGCGCCTCTTCTGGGGTTACTGGTCTCCCAGTCTGAAATGTTGACATTTATGCCAACTCTTAAGGGGACAGAACATGACCCTTCCCCTGGGGTGGAATGTGGGGGCAAGAGATGGCACATTATCCCAACAGAACCGAGTAAAACCAGAATAACCCAGAGAAACAGACATGCCCTCCTGAACTCAGGAGAGGAACAGCCAGAAACTCACATTTCTCCCCTGAGATGGTGCTGGGTTCTAGGTGTGCTCTGCTGTGATTGAAAGTCAAAGGAAGCAATCCTTTCAAAATGACTATTTTTTGATAGAGTGCATGCTATTCAGTGACTTATTTATTTTGTTAAAAAAAACATAATTTTAGGACTAGCAAATTTAATATTTTTCTGTTATGGGCTTTAAGACTATATTTTAGTTATTGCAAGTGACTTTTGAAATATTGTTCCAATAATTCCATAAGCTATAAGGTAAGCACTGGCATGGACCTCAGTACATAGCAGGTGCTCAGCATATATTTGGAAAACAAATTATGTTTAGAGTGAAAATCAATGATATTGTGAAAGTGTATTAGTTGTGAAAGGTTTCCCAAATGCCTACTAAGTGTCTCTCAAAAGGTATAGTATATTAAACACATATAAGAGCTTAATATATTCTGATGACATTATGCTGAAAAACTGACCTGGTCATGTTTTCTCCTCAATAGAATTTTAATAAAGCAATTTCTATAGCTTTTCTTAAAAAAAAAAAAAAAAAAAAAAAAATCCAGACACTGCCCCATTTTTTAAAATTCTTTACCACAAAATGGCAATAAAACCCTTTAGCAAAGCATGAACTGTAGTGTATTCATTACCTTCCCCTCTTCTCCCACCACTCACCCAACCATCCACTTATTCATTCACCCATCTTCCCATCCATCCATCCATCCCTCTACAAACCCAGTTATCCATCTCTCTGTCCACCTGCCCATCCGTCTGTCCATATATCCCCCCTCCCATCCATCCATTCCTCTACAAACCCAGTTATCCATCTATCTGTCCATCTGTCCATCCTCTGTCCCATCTATCCCCCACCCATCCATCCATAGATCTACTCCCATCTATTCACCCACCGATCCAGCATATCTAGGTCCCCATCCCAGTGTATCACTCACCTTCACACCCCTTGCCCACTGACCTCTCCTGCTGGTCAAGTGTATCTCAGACAGGGAAGGCCTCAGCCCCCCAAGTTTGCAGAAATCTCTAGAATGGAATGAGAGGTTGAGGCAATCCCAGAAAGTGCAGATAGTTCAGCAACAATGAGAATGATCATTCACTGGGCTCATACTGTTAGGTGTTCTATATGTAATATCTCCCCAAACCCACATTACACCCCTATGAGGCAGGGCAATTGTAACTCCATTTTATGAAAAAGGAAGATGAGGCTGAGGGTGACCCATCCCAGGTCCCCAGGTCTCACAACTACCATGTTTCCCCGAAAATAAAACATCCTCCGAAAATAAGACCTACTTACAGGTTTTCTAATGAGTGAAATATAAGGCATCCCCCGAAAATAAGCCCCCCACCCCAGGCTCTGTCTCAGAATGAAAATTAATTTACTATAAACTGGTCGCTAGGGCCGCCCCGACTGGCCTCTAGCAACCAGTGACATTATGTGGAGTCCTGATTTCACTGCTGTGTGGAGGCGGAGCGGAGGTTGGAGTGAGGGGTGAGCGTGGGGCGGGAGAGAGGAGGAGACTTTTGCAGATGCCTGTAGAAGAACAGGAGGATTAGAGCAGACGGGACTCAGCTAAGGTGGTGAATGCTGGTCTGTCTGTGGTGACACTACCTGATGCTCGCGGCCGCCCTCATGATGACTGAAGGTTCTCAGTCAGTGGCAGACCCTGCTCCAGCCCAGATCCAGGCCCCAGGAAGCGCAGTGACAGTCCCCAGGCAGGCCCCAGGGGGTAAATGTCTGATAAAGGGGTAGGGAGGATGTCTGGTGAAGGTGTTCAGTGGCACAGGGGTGGGGGGAGGGGGATCACTTAAAATGACACAGGAGGATCAGAGAGGGTAATCAAAATGACACAGGAGGATCAAAAGGGGTTACTAAAATGGTAATCCCCCCTCTGATTCTCCTGTGCCATTTTGGTCCCCCCCTCTGATCCCCCCTGTGTTATTTTAAGTGATCCCCCTCCCCCCACCTTGATACCCCAATTCCTTTTTTTTACCCCTAGAAATGAGCACAAAAAGAAAAAGCTACTCCGTGGAGTACAAGAAAGGAATCGTGGAAGACTCTTGGGGCCAAAATCTTACTGTTTTCTGCAAAGAGAAGATGTTGAGTATGCGATTGGTCCGAAAATGGCGAGCAGAGTATGGTAACCTCATTGAACAAGTGGACAAGGGAAATGCTAAAAAGCGCAAGTGTGGATCAGGTCGGCAACCATTATTTTCTGAGCTGGAAGACCTGATCTGTGAATGGGTTGTTGACAGGAGAGCAAAGGCTTTGGTTGTGAATAGGGCTCAGATTCAAGAATTTGCCCTTGCAATGGCACCACAGTTTGACATAGCCCCCGAAGACTTCAAAGCATCACAACACTGGCTGGATAATTTCCTTCAGCGAAGTGAACTGTCTTTAAGAAGATCTACAACATTGTTTAGGTTGGAAGATACTCAAGTTATTAAGCGAGCACTTGCATTCAAGTCCTTTATTGATGATGCTGACTTCTCTAAATACAATCTTTCCAACATGATTGCTATGGATGAAACTGCAGTGTTTATGGGCCAATCATCTCAAACAACAATTGAACAGCGGGATGCCTCCTTAGCCTACATTCCCTCCACTGCTTACGAAAGTGCACGAGTTTCCTGTATTTTGGCAATTCGTCTGGATGGCACTAAAATCCCACCTTTAATCATTTCTAAGGGCAAGAAGGAAAAGATTGAGCGTATTTTGGGCGTTTTTATTCTTGAAACTGAAAAAGCCTGGGCCACCCAAGCAGTTATAAGGAAGTGGGTCGATTTAATGCTGCCGCTTGTTATGCGAGGGAGCCAAAGAGGTTTGCTAGTCTGGGATGCAGCCAGCACTCACCGCGCTAAAGACATGAAGACATTTCTTCAAGAAAGAAAAATAGATCAGATAATGATTCCCGCAGGAATGACAGCCTATCTCCACACTCTTGATATTGCAATAAACAAGCCATTCAAAGACAATTTGCACATGGAAATTAATGACTACATTGAAAATAGAATGGAGAGAAATCAGCGTGGAAACTTTGTGAAACCTAAACTGCAAGAAGTTGTGACTTGGGTGAAGAATTCATGGGAGAAAATCACTGACAGTTGCATTGCAAATGCACTGCGAGCAGGCTACCTTGACAAGAAGTACTCATTTAAAGACAGTGCTATTGCTAAACATGAGAGATTTGGTCCATTGATTCTGAAAGAAATGGAGTCACAAGAAATTCACCAGGAAATTCAGGAATTGGATGGTTATGATGATGTTCCAGAAGATGATGACATGATTGTCATTGAATAAATGAGTAAATTCTTGATACTGTAGGATTCACAGTTTGTCTGGTTTGTGTTGATAACTACCATACTACCATACTGTACACAGGTAGTAAATTTCCTTTATTTTCATTTAACAATAAAAGTGTACCGTATTCTTCGTGGAAAATAAGACATCCCCTGAAAATAAGACCTAGCGCATCTTTGGGAGCAAAAATTAATATAAGACACTGTCTTATTTTCGGGGAAACAGAGTAGCTGCTGGCAGAACCAGGAGAGTTGCCCTGGTCCCCTCCCTCATCCTCCCCCCCAACCCGCCTCCCCATGCGGACCCCTTAGGGGTGTGGCCGGTGTGTACCTAGCAGCAGAGCCTGCGGAGCCTGCATCCTCGCCTGCTCCCCCTGGACCTCTTGTGGGACCTTCTCCAAGGCCTGGCGCTCCGGCCGGAGGGCCTGCTGCTGGGTCTGGAGGCCGTGGCCGGACTCCTTTTCCAAGAGCTCCTCGGGGGCCTGTGGGGAAAGTGGGAGGAAGGAAGCATCGCACTGGGCACAGCAGGGGACACCTGTGCCATCTGCCCAGCTCCTCCCAGCTGGCACCGGCTCCCTGGTGGGGCGCACCAGTCTCCCCTCCACCCTGCCTGGGATGGCAACGATGGCCTGGCACAGCAGCCGTTCTGGACCCTGTGAACCCGCCCTGGTCCACAGCTGACTGGACTAGAGGCCCCTGTTGGAAGCTGGACCGGTCAGTGGGAATGTGGTGTTAGGAGGCAGGAGGAGAGAGAACAAGAGAAAGACAGACACTGACTAGATGCCTTCAGAGTTAACACTCAGGAAAACAGCCCCACCAGCACCTGATGGAGGACTTCGGACCTCCAGCACCGTAGCGTAAGAGCTGTGTGGTGTTGAGCCACCCAGTTTGTGGTCATTTGTTACAGCAGCAATAGGATACCAATAGTTTTGTTTTTTGTTTTTTTCTTCTTAAAAAAATTTTTTTTTTTATTTCTTACAGAGAGGAAGGGAGCTAGAAACATCGATGAGAGAGAAACTTCAATCAGCTGCCTCCTTCCTGCACATCTCCTACTGGGAATGTGCCTGCAACCAAGGTATATGCCCTTGACCGGAATTGAACCCTGGACCTTTAAGTCCGCAGCCAAACCGGTTTTAGAGATTTATTTTTTCCCTTTTTTTGGCAACAGAGTGTTGCAGTTGATACATTTTGAAATGAAAAATTGAGGCTAGAAGAGATAAATTCGAATTTTCAAGGTCACACAGAAAAGATGCAGGACTCATCCTCCCCTCTGCCTCTCCTTTTCTGTTCACAGAGGAGGACAGGGGCTCAGGAAGGTGGGGTGACCTGACTGAAGAGAGGTGGAAGGGGGTGGTGGAGCAGGACATGGTGGAGGCAGGGTGGTAGCCATGGGCTGCAGTGTCCACTCCCTCATGCAGCCTCTGGGAACAGTGGGAAACGGGATCTCACCAAACGCAGGAGGCTCCCTCCCCTGAGAGGGGACAGAGCCATCCTGGAGCCTGAGGAGCTGACTGAATGCCGGAGCCTGGCCTTGCCGATCCCCAGCAAATGGGGAGACAAGGTCTTACTCCTCCCAGGGTAGGCTCAGTCCTCTGGGGGGAGATTATTGAATAAGGCAGCAAAGGCTCCCACCATTCAAACTCCGGTTGTCCCTCCTCTTGCTGCAAGACTCACAGGACTCCCAACAGGTGACACTCCCATCCCCTTTGAAACAGGAATGGAGCGGTGGAAGCAAAGCTTTGCAAAGACATTGTTGGAGAAGCTGATGACGGCAGCTCGCTGGTGGAGGCCATTTCTGGGTTGTGGGAGCAAGAGCTGGTGCAGTTACTGGTGAAGCAGGAAGAAGCCTCCACAGTACAGGTGAGCCCCAGGTGGGCGGTGTGAAAAGCCACAGCCCGCGTGGCTCTAGAGTTCAAAGGCTTGGAGAAAGAGCTGACATGCAAATTGACACACTAGGCAAGAAAAGTTCATTTTGAAATGATGGGGGGAAGCCAGGGAAAAGCTTAACTGTAGTAGTTAAGTACCACCGAGTCTCCATTTCCAACTGCTTTTATTTACTAGAATACACAATTGTCTTTTAGGAATGCAAAGGGACATATCAGTGGTAATGTTTAGTAAACAGTAAGATTATCAGGTTAGGGGGGAGTTTGCTTTAGGCCACTGAGTCAGCAGTAGGTAATAAGATGCAAATTCACCCTGTGAATATCAGAGTCCAAACTCAGCCTTCTGGTGGACTTCTCACATTTATATTAATTACTGTTGATCTTGGTTCCCAGCAGGTGGTGTTCAGAGAGCATGGAGCACCAATACAGGTGTGAGGGCTGGAAGGTGTGCTATCACCAGAGACCTCCAGGAAGGTAGTCATTGTGATTGGGCCAGGACTCTGAGGTCATCGTGAGGTCACCGAGGCAGAATATAAGCTGGTGTCACACATCACTGTACACATCACTGGCTTTCTGGAAACCAGTGAATAAAACGATGACCCCAAGAAATTAAGGAGACGAAAGGCTCAGGGAAGTCACCGCTGACTCTGGTGGGACAGAGACACAAGCAGCCTGCCCTGGGCGTGTGCTGAGAGCCAAGTGAGAAGTCTGCTCTCAGTTGGGGTCATTAGTTAAATAGTTTTTGACTCATGGAAATGCTGTGGCCAAACAGCTGAGGGCCTAAACACAAATTCCCAAGTCTTTAATGTCATGGCGCCTGATCCAGAAAGAATGTTCCTGGAAGTTGTCCTTTTACACCCTGTTCTGATGTCCCCGTTTCCACCCCCAGATCAGCCAACATTACTCTAAGAATGCTGAATGCATTAGCCGTAACGCAGACAAACTAAAGTCATTTAGAAAACTGAATTACCAAACCATCAAAAGGGAATTGACATGAATTTCTCTCCTGAGATATTAATTTCCCCTGGGGGGGAAAAATGTATTTTGACAATGAAAAGATTTTTCCCCCCCAGCATCCTTTCATTCTCAATACGCCTGGGTACCACTTTCCTAAAAGTATGCTTCATGAACTCAAGATCAACAGTGGCTTTAATACTTCATCATATTTAGCCTTTCTGAACTCGTATTATACTTTCTGAACTCGTAATTATTTTTCTTGGACCCCAGAATACTTTATTTCTCCGAAATTCATTGTCCTAGTCTTCTCACGGCTCCATTCAAAACAAACAGTATGTACACTTATGGGGAGAGCCAGGTCCTGGTAATTAACTTGCTATTTGGTGATTTGGTTCCATTTAACCATGGGGAGGGGTGAGAACGGGCCTTGGAGCTCGTAGGGCGTGATTACCGCCCGAGCGAGCGTTTAAATTACTCCCGCGGGAGAGGCAACTATCGCGAGACTGCCGAGGCGGCGGCGGGAAGACCACCCACCTCCAAAGTATCGGTTTAAGCAGCCGTTGTCGGGTAGGAAGTGACGTTTCTAAGAAGAGGAGGGGCGAAGGCTCGCCCGGAAGTAGTGCCCGATGCACAGGGCGAGTCGAGTGGCCGCGCTGGCCTTCGCCAGAGTGTGCGGCGGGGCGTGAGGCGGAAAAAATGCCCCTTGGGTGAGAGGGGGAGTCTGCTGGGGGGTCCAGCGGGAGGGAGCAGGGAGCTGGCGGGGGGTTCGTTTGCAGCTCGTGCAGAAGGAAAGAGCGGGCGCTGAGCGCAGGGCCGCGGCCTTTCCCAGCCTGGGCCCTCGGCTGCTGGGAGGGCTGCAGGGGGAGCAGGCGGGCCCTCCGCGCGGAGAGGCCCCGTTCGGTGCAGATGCAGCTGCTCTCCGTGGGCCTCCTTCCGAGGTCTGGTTCACAAAGGTGGGCACCGACCGGGTGCTCAACGGGACGGAACGGCCCCAGCGTTCACAGGGTGGTTAAGCTAAAGAAATGTTTGTTTGGTTGTTTGTTTGTTTGTTTGTTTAAAAAGGAGTGCTGCCTTCAGGGGGAACTGAGCCTTTAAACTGTTTTTTTAATGGAATTAATTGTATCCGACCAGAGTGAGCATCTCAGTACTCACAGCCATCTAAAGAAGTAGGTTACAGCCCGGCCTCGGCCGATGAACCAGGTGGACAGGGTTCGATTTGGGTCAGGGCACATGCCCGGGTTAGAGGCTCAATCCACTTTGGGGGGCGTGAAGGAAACGGCCAGTCAGTGATTCTCCTCTCCCTCCCTCTCTGAAATCAATGAGAAACACACACACACACACACACACACACACACACACACACACAAAGAAAGAAGTGGATTACAGAGCTGCCCGTATATCTTTTCTCCTATTGAAGCACCTTCCCTTCCTCGCATAACGGATTTTCTGAATTCACTTAATTTTTATGTAATAATAATAGATAATACATCTCTGAATATACTCGATTGTTTTGTGTTCTAATATGAAAAGTCATGTTCTTAATTTCCTTTTTTTCAATCGGTATTGTTCTTGAGGTTTATTCATGTTCATATTTTTATAATAACTTACATTTGTGGACTTTTATGTGCCAGATACTGGTTTGAGCACTTTACTGTTAGAGCCAGTAGTAACGAATTTTTTTAATTCACTGTTAATTTTTATATATTAATAATTTATAAATACATCTCTGAATAAGTATACTCGATTGTTCTCATGTTCTAATATGAATATTCAAATATACAATTTCCCTTTTTTAAGCAGTACTGTTTTTTTGAGGTTTACTCATATTGATGTTTTCATAATAACATATCTGTGGACACTTAGGTGCCAGACTGACTGGTGTGAACACTTTAACTTTACTTCATTTAATTTTTATAGACAACCTCTATGAAGTAACTTACCTTCTTTTAAGATAAGGAAACTGAGGCACAGGTTGCTATAGTATTGCTATAGTTATTTAAATATGCCATAATTGATTCATCCATTCTTTTCATATTTCTAATTCCTTAAACATTTTAGGTATTCAAAGTAATTCATGTGAAAGCATTTGGGTTGCCCATAATTTCAAAAGATCAAGATGTCTAATTTCTGAAAAAGCATTTTTACTTAATAAGTTACAGGAAAGAGGCCTAAGAATGCATGAAAGATACTGATAACATTTATAGACTATTTATAGCTTATATGTACACTGCCCAGAAAGTTGTGGAAGTAGCCTAGAAAGGGCATCTACTTTTTAACCAAATACATCTACAACATTTCAACATGTAAACATAATTAATGAGATAATTTATATTTTTTCTGCTAAGTCTTTAAAATTGGGCATTATTTTACACTAACCACATTTCAGATGCTCAATAGACACCTAAAGAGAGTGAATACAGAATGGGATAGTACAGACCTATTCTTACTTTGAGAACTTCTATATATACTATTTGTTTTTTATGTAAAGTCAGATTCAACTGGTAAACTAACTAGAACAAACTAATATTTGGAGACATTTCTTCTTTTATGGCCTTTACTTGCTCAGCTCTCTTCATGCTTTGGATGCCTGCGACCTTCGTAGCTTTGTTTTTTAAGTTTCTAACAATATTATTTCCTTTACTGTATTTTAGTTGGCTACCTTGCCACAAATGAGAAATGATTTTATTTGTTGTTAATTCTCACCCGGGATATTTTTCCATTGATTTTTAAAGAGAGTGGGAGGGAGGAGGCGAGACAGAGAGAAACATCAGTGTGAGAGAAACACATCAATCGTTTGTCTTCCAACCAGAGCTGGGATCGAGCCTGCAACCAAGGTACTTGTCCTTGACCAGAATTGAACCTGGGACCATTCAGTCTGAGGGACCATTCAGTCCGCAGGTGTGCACTTAGCAAAACTAGCCAGGGCAACTTCATACAGTTTTGTCAGTTACCAAAGGATAAGGCATCTGGCCTAACTATATTTTAATTTTATTTATTTATTTATTTGGATGAATAACATTTTCAGTACTTTTTGAACATTATAATCTGGAAACGTTTTTAAAAGATAATATACTGCAAAATGAACAGGTAACCTGCAGTGGGACAACATATTTGCAAACCATTTATTTCAAAGGGGGTTATTATCCAAAATATATCGATATAAGAAATTCATACAACCTAATATAAAAAAAAAATTGCCCTAGCTGGTTTGGCTCAGTGGATAGAGCATCGATCTGTAGACTCAAGGGTCGAAGGTTTGATTCTAGAAGATCAAGGACATGTACCTTGAGTGCAGGCACATCCCCAGGGGGGAGTGTGCAGGATACAACTGATGGATGTTACTCTCTCATCGATTCTAACTCTCCTTCTCTCTCTCCCTTTCTCTCTATTAAAATCAATTAAAAAAATATTTTTTAATTAAAAAAAATAAAAATGGGAGCAAAAGTCTGAGTACACATTTTTCATTAAGAAGACGTATTAATGGCCAACAGAGGTCAGCCTAAAGGTGTTCGATATCACTATCAGGCAAATGCAAATCAAAATTACAATATGATAACACCTGGCACCTGTTAAGATTGCTGTTATCAAAAAGTCAAAAGAAAATACATTGGCAAAGATGTGGGGCGAAAGGAAACCTTATACCTGTGGGTGGGAATGTGAATTGGTACAGCCGTTATAGAAAATGGTATAGAACAACCATGTGATCCAGCCATCTCACTTGTGGGTATATGTTCAAAGGAAATAAAGACACTATCTCAAAGATATATTTGCACTCCCACATTTATTGCAGCGTTATTCGCAGTAGCTTAATATGTGGGAACAGCCTAAGTATCAATGGATGAATGCATAAAGATGTGAGATACACAGAATGGAACATGCAGTCTTTTAAAAAGAAGGAAATCCTGCAATTTGCAACAATATGGGTCAATTGGGAGTACATTCTGCTAAGTGAAATAATGCAGACACAAAAAGACAAATACTGCATGTGGAATCTAAAAAAGTCAAACTCTTAACAGTAGAATGGAAGTTACCTGTAGCTGGGAGGTGGAGGGAAAGTAGAGATCCCTGGTCAGAGGGTACGGACTTTCAATGATGAGTGAGTTCTGGAGATTTAATGTACAGCATGGTAACTATAGTTAATAATTAGTATGGCCAAAACCGATTTGGTTCAGTGGATAGAGCGTCGGTCTGCAGACTGAAAGGTCCCAGGTTCAATTCCGGTCAAGGGCATGTACCTTGGTTGTGGACACATCCCCAGTAGGGGGTGTGCAGGGGCAGCTGATGAGATGTTTCTCTCTCTTAGATGTTTCTAACTATCCCTCTCCCTCTCTGTAAAAAAATCAATAAAATATATGAAAAAAAGTAATTAGTATGCATACTTGAAACTTGAGAAGGTAGATTTCAAGTGTTCTCATCACCCACAAAAAATGGTAACTGAGATGATAATGTTAGTTTGTGGTAATTGTAGTGAATACATATATCAAAATGCCACATTCATGTTCAAATATCTCATTTGTCAATCATACTTGAATAAAGTTAAGTAAACCAAAAAAGAAGATGCTACAATACAATTTAAACACCATAGTTTCACTGTCTTGAAGCTTACCCTAGTTCCTAAATTTTACTTTTAGTGCTTTGAGGGGAAAGAACAAATAATAGCAACTTTGGGAATAAATCTTTTTCTGTCCTTGGGAGATTTTGTTGAAGAAATAACAAAACTAAAGAATTTGTATGGTAAGGCTGTTTAGTTACAAAATTTCAGAAAACGCATTCTTTAAAGGTAAATTCTACATGAGCATATATAGAATAGGTGTGGTAATTCAGTTTTGATATGGGAAAACTGCACGTGATATAAAGAAAAAAACAGTAATGAGTTCATTCTAGAATTTACATATGCCTGCAAAAAATCTTTATCTCTCCTTGAGTGAGCCTTTTACAGCATGTTTTGAGTAATATAATAACTTAAGTGTACTTGATCTTGCAGATGGAATTTGGTTGAAAGAAAAATAATAAAAATGTAAGAGGACAGAAGAATTAAAACCAACAGCTTCTCCTGTCTCAATAAAATAAAGACTTACGGTATGTTTTGAATTTTCTTTTTCAGATTGAACTATATAATAATATTATAAACTTAAAACTATTTGCTTTGGGGTTTTTTTTAAAGATGAAATTATAAGTAGTTTCCTTTATATTGCTTTAGTAGCATCATCTGTATTGATCTTGCTTTAAAAAACTTTAATGTGTCTTTGTCCAACATATTAACAAGTCAGTTAAGTATAATTTGGGTATTTCTGGCTCCCTCAAATAAAAATAGAACATATTTCTATAGTTACAGCAGGCCTTCATCATTCCCTCATTATTTTTTCAAAAAGCTTGCTAAGTCCCTAATATGTGCCAGACACTGATGGGTTCTGAATTAGAATGTGTAGAAGACAGAGAAATATTTTTGAGAAGACTAATACTGAAATGAAGCCATACTATATGACCTTATTTCTACAACTCATGCGTATTTGAAACTAGAGATGCTTGCCGACTCATTTTTAAAATCCCTCCTACAGAATGGCATAAATGGGATTTGCTATTTTGGATTTTGCTTTTTTCCATTTAGAGCTATGTTTTTAGTCCAGCCATTTGCAATATATACTTCTAATGTGCTTTCACCTCATTTTACCCAGCCTCTCCTCCAGTGATGGAAACCTAGAAAGCTTCTAATTTTTTACCATCAAAGATGAAGCATCAGAATGCATGTTGGTCTTAAGAGAATTTTTTTGCTTTATTTACTCAAGAGTAGAATTGCTAGATTGTGAGGTGTGCAAATAGTTTGGCTAAGTAGTGCTGCCAATTGCTCTCAGAAAGGTTCTCCCAGTCTATAATTATTGGTTTCCAAAGGAGTTCCTTTGGTCTCTTCACTAACACTGATATTTTCCAGCTTTCTAATTTTTTGCCAAACAAATGGAATAGTGTGGTATCCCTTTACTCATATGGCTCATAACTTGTGGCTTTTCCCTTCTGTAAATTGGATATTTTTGTCCTTTGCCTATTTCTTTACTGAGGTTGCTACTTCTTATTGTTGATTTGTAAACTTTGTTCTTAATGTCTTTAGTTCAGTAAAAAAAATAATTAATTTTGATGTCATCGAATTTATCATTTTTTTTACTTTGTAATTTACCTTGTGAAAGGTATTTCTGTAATGCATTTTCTAGTTAGTATTACTGGTATAGAAGTTAAGAGTGCCCTGGGTTCAAATTCTGACTATCAGTAGATGTGTGACCTTGGCCATGTAGCTTAAACCTTGTGTAAATGGGGACAATAAAAGTATCTTATAGGGTTTGTAGGAGATTTTAAAACGAGTTAACATTTATTATTCGGTGTTAATATTTTTAATAATCTTTATACTTTTCATTTTAATCCCTGAATCATTTATGTCTCAGCATAGGATTATTTTTTTCTCTTAATATATCTTTATTATTGAAAATATTACAGATGTCCCTTTTGTGGTGGTTTTTTCCCACAAAAAGAGCGGGTTCTACCCGAACCCGCCCTTCCCGGGGGGGGGGGGTGGGGGGGGAGTACTTTTAAGTAACACTTAATACCTACTTTTATTGCATGGTGGTCAGGGATTTACTCTGAATCAAATGGCCCGAGTTATACTTTATAACCTTATGCATGATCTGTTTGTGTGTGTGCATACTCCAATATCTGTTGGTTGGTATTGTTCTGTTTAATCATGTAATACTCAAAGTACATTAATATTTTAACTGATTTTCATGCTTTTTGAATCCTTGCTTATATTTCTCCCTTCAGTTCTATCAGTGGTTACTTGAGAAAATTTGAGTATTGTTTTCAGGTGAATATATGATAAGAACAGCAAATCCTCAAATAACATCGAATACCATTGTTTCATTCATGGACACTTCCATCTCTGACCCTATAATTTTTGGCTTAAAATCTTTTGTTGTTGTTGTATGTTAAAATTGCTGTCTTTTTTCATCTTTTTTTTTTTTTTTTTTTTTTTTACCTTTCTATGTTGTTTTTTGTTGTTTTTGTTTGCTTTAAAATGTCTTTTGTTAACGACATTATTGAAACTTGTTTTTGTTTTAATTCAGTCTGAGTATCTGCCTTTTAATTGTGAGTTTAACCTGTTTACATTCAGTGTAATTCCTATTGTATTAAGGTTTATACCTGCCATCTTCAACTACCTGGAGAGTGGGGTCATATGACCATCACCTCTGGGTCCCACCAAATGTCCTAATATCTAGCAGCTCTACAAGCAGGACACATATCTCATAAAAACTAATCCCACCAAGCATAGCTAAAGGTAAAAAGGATATAAATAAAATGGTTTTTATAGCTCTCTACTTGGAGTTCAAGACATAAGGGATCTGCTTTGTGGAAATAATTTTCTGGGCTCAAACTACATATGTAAAAACAAACTGGCCCAGATATGTACCAACAAAGGATTAAAATGGGCCCAGGTCTCCTTCCCAATTTTATGATTATAGGAGCCATTCCCAATAGGAAAATCTGCCTACACCTATGAAGTAGAGATGGGAAAGTCAAGAAGATTTCTTGTTCAGCATCAGTGTTCTTGGATATCCACAGATAGACAGTGATGTTACCTAGTGCTTTCAGGCTTTAATATCATGTCTAGTCTTCTCATTTACAGGTTAAGGCTACCTTTCCAGGTAGTCCAACAGCTAAGTCACCATTTCCAAGGGCGTTTGCACCACTTATGGAAAACATCGGATCCGTGCACACCAGATGTCCTTGACAACTCATCCCACCATCCCTTGCACAACATTTGCTGCACCAGCAGACTGTGAAGCTGACCGCTGAGCTTCTTTTCATTACCAAGTAGATATAATATCCCTGACAACAAAACAGAGGACACAAGTGTCTCTTCAGAGTATCACAGCCAGTTGAGACCAACTTAAGAAAATCAGCTTGCCTATATGAAGACCCTTCTCTTCTTGGGTAGCCAGGACTTAAAGGAGAGAGACTGACCTGTGCCACTGGTACGTGACTGACTTACACACTGAACTGGTCCTGAGAGCCAAGATGTCTTCTTTGTAAGTGAAGAATATACAACATAATCTCAAAGAACTACATAGCGGTGCAAGCCAGAGGCATACTGTGTGTGTAACGGACTCAGAAACAGGCAAGGTAATCTTGTTGAAAGGATTTTTCATCTTTTGTTCTATTTGCCAGTGTTAGTGTTTTGCTGGCTTCAATTGTTACCTTTTTCTGGTTCTTTCTTTTCTATTCCAATGGGTCCCAGAAACCCCTCTCCCGGTCCCTTATCAGAATCAGAAAGTGAGGAAGAAGAAAACGCTAACTACCTAAATGAGAGTTCTGGGGAAGAGTGGGATTCCTCTGAAGAAGAGGACCCTGTGGTGCCCAACCTGACCCCTCTGGAGAGTCTTGCCTGGCAGGTTAAGTGCCTTTTAAAATATTCAACTACTTGGAGACCTTTAAATCCTAATTCCTGGTTATATCATGCTAAACTCTTAGATCCAAACACACCAGTCCATATACTTCGAGAGATAGGTCTAAGGCTCTCCCATTGCTCCCACTGTGTACCCAAACTCGAACCCATTCCTGAGTGGCCACCTCTGGCTTCTTGTGGTGTCCCACCTTTTCAAAAGCCGCTGACAAGTCCCAGCCGGCTTTCCAGAGATCACGCTACTTTAAATGGAGCGCTGCAATTTGCCACCAAACAATTAAGCCGAACCTTGAGTAGAGCCACTCCCATCCCTGAATTCCTAAAACAGATCCCTAATTCGTGTGTTTCTGGTTGTTGCTGTGGCTGGTTAACTAAAACAGTTAAGGAAACAACCCGCACTGAACCCATCAACACCACTTACTCTTACACTGACTTCCAGAAGGCAGTTAACAAACTCCTAACTACATCCCTGTAAAGATTCACCCTTTGCTCTGGTATCTCCTGTTTCTGATTGAGAAAGCAGTGCAAGTTACACAGTCCAGAGCTGAGAAAGGAAAGCCTTCTCAGCCAAACTGCCCAAGCTGAATATCTATCCAAGGGGCCCATCAATCAACTATAGAAAACATGCATTGTGAGCACTCACTTTGACAGACCCTGTGGAAAAACAAGAACTTCAATAGAGAATTCGTCAAAAGGAAAGGGTTGCAAAAAATAAATTGGCTATTTTCCACATTCAGTTCTCCCCAATTTACTCTGCCTAACTGAATAGACTAACTCTAAGTATCTAAAGATTGGTGGGGAGGACAGGGCAGGCTACTCTTCTTACCCAGCCTTCACAGCAGCCATTGTGGAAAGTGGGAGGTTAGCTACTCCCAGTAGTACCTTCCCTAAGCATACCCTTCTCTGACATTCATTTTTAGGAAGGTAGTTACAAAGGTGGGAATATGGTTTATCTCACAGCTTTTATATGGATAGGTCTGCATATGGCATTAAACAGGCACCTATTCTATAAGGAATATATTTCCTGCACCTTGGCACCCAGACTTTAGTCAAGAGGAAATGAAATACATTCCAAAAGACCAAAGAGAAAGGATTATTAAGAGAGCATTTATGTTTTCTATACTAACTGCTAGTGGATTAAAGTATTTCAGTCTGTATGTTTCCTGGTACAGCACTTAATGCACTTTCCCATCCATTGCAAACTTTCCAGGATCGCTTCTAAATGGAAAGAACCTTACTATGGAAAGTCTCAGCCTAAATATAACCTGAAGTTAGAGTTTTTTAGTATCATTGTTTTCCTACATATATTAGCTTTAGATCTATCTAAACAAGAACGTATATGTACTCTTGTAAATGGGTCTGGCAGTGTATTTAAATGAGTCAAAATGTAGAAATCAACATAAATAAAATGCATGAGACCGTTCGATCTTTTCACACCATAAAGACTGAAACCTGTGTATGGTCTTGGTTGACGGCATCTAAAGGACTCAGAAAATAGATTGTTAAAGATTTATCTTATACCCCCTTAGTTTAGTTTTGCTTTTTCCTATTCTCCATAACTAAGTGCTATCTACAATATGGCATCAAATTCTTAAAGCATTAATAGAATCACAAATTCTGTAAATGTGTAGCAACTTTAGGAAAGAGAAGGGTGTTTATAACAAAATGGTATTTCTGCTGAGCCTTAGTTGTCTTAAAGAAAAAAAGGAAGAGATTGTAATTGGTAAAAAAAAGTTTGTTGGTAGAAAATGATTGAACTGAAACCATATACACTATTAGTGTAACTGAATGTATCAGAAACTATTCCTATGTAGATGTTTTCTGTGAAACTGGTTTTTAAAATGTTACAACCTATTTGTTTGGTTTTTTGTTTTGTTTGTTTTTTCTTAAATGGCTGTAAAGTGAGGTAGATAATTGGTAGTCATCGGATAACTTTCATAGTCTCTTCATGATGTAGTAGTCTGGTCTCTTGGTAGAAGACGCTCCATTCCTGATGCAAGCCTCTCGAGGATTTTGGTAACTGCAACAAATTGCTCATGATTAGCTCTTTGATCTTTTCACCTGAATTTACAACTGAGTCAATATCCACATTTGACATCTCATAAATAGTCTTTAAGCCTTCATGGTCAAGTTGTGCCAGCTTTATCTTCTTGAACGGCGGTTCTTGCAGCGCCTCTTCTATCTCTTGTTCGGAGACCTCTGCATTGAGTTCTCTTGTGGTTCTGTAATCCTTGAATGTTCTCTTGCGTTTTCTTTTGAACAAGAGAGCAGCTCTAAAGAGATGAGGGAACAATTGCGGAGTGAGTAGGTAATGACCCTCAAGCTTAAGAATCTTCAAGTATTGAAACAACTTCTCAGTATGTTGTTGAATAAGCTTCTCAAGCTTGACGAATCTTACAGCAACAGCAGTTACTTGTTGAATCATCATCACCCTTGAGAAACCGTCATTTATAAGAGATCTGATTATTGTATAAGGTGTCATGTCTGCAAATGATGAAATCAGTCGAACGCTCTTGAAGTGGGCCCAGGAAGATCACTATGATGAATAGGAGTGTGTTAAGGATCTTCACATCAAGTTCCTCAGAACTCAGCCACTCAGTGGACTCTCGAAGATCTGGAGCTGGATCTGGATCAATGGTTGGTGCCTGAATACAAGGTCGCATGAAGTATGTTACATCTCTTATTGACCTGTTGCATAGGATTCTGTTGAGGCCTCTTTACGAGACAGAACATCATAGCAAGCACAATTTTGACGATTCTTTTTCCTGTCATATCATCTAGTTCCACATTGGGTCCCCATTCAACAGGTTCTGTTGAGGCATTGATTGATCCTCTATTGGCATGGATGTATTTGTCCCATGGTCTTCCTTCTAGGTTGTACAAAAGAGGAAATGTGGCCAGTAGACATGTGACACTTATGAAGACTCCACTGCCTACAGTCATTTGTTTCATAACGGTTAAATTGTGCAAATTCGTACCTTCGCCTTGACATATCTGCTCTCGAGGAGATAGATACAAATTCACACCAGTACAGTGTACCAACTCTACGTGAGAATACATTGTGTCACACAACCTGTTTTTTTAAGGGGAGGTGGGAAAGATAGGGAAATCAAAAAATTAAAATACGATGTTTATATGTTTCTTTTTCTGTGTGTGTGTGTGTGTGTGTGTGTGTATAAAAATGCCTTGTTCATAAACACATTTTTGCTATTCACTCCTAAAGGAACCCTTTCCCCAACTTTGTAGCTGAATAAACCAACAGCTTTGTACATGCTGAACAGAGTATGGTCATTTATTCTCAACAAATGATCCTGCTGTGCTTAAGGCATATTCAGCATTCACTAAGTGCTAAGTAAAATCAGTAGATGTCGTGCCTATGTCTATACAGTGTCTCTGATAGGAGGTGACTTGGCAACTCTAGGAAAGAAACATACCTGAAGAAGATAATGTGAGATGTCAAGACCCACATTTGAACTCATTTGTTCACACAGTAAGTAATCCCAGGTTGTACAAAAGGATAGGCACCCGAATAAGCCATAATCCTTCACTTCTTTCTGTGTATCATGGATGTGGGGGTAGGGGTGAATTTATCACTTTCATATTTTCCCTACATGGGCCTTTGGTCAAGGGCAGTCACCATAATTAGGATAAAAAAGGGCACATTTATTCTCTATAGAAATACTTATCAAAGAACTAAGGAAACAGGATTTCTAAACAACGAATGGACATTAATGTTAAAGGTATTCTCACAGAACAGATAGCAGCCTCCTTTTTATTGATGTCCAAATACTTGGAGCCCAGAAGACCACATCATGTATTTTAAACCCATCAGCTTCTTAAGGAAAAAAACATCAATGCATTGCAGAAGGACAAATGTTAGGTCAGCTTTGGGGGGGTTATCCTCCGGAGTTCCTATTACAGCTATCTACCTAAAAAAATGCTCTGATGAAAACAGTGTTAATGTTTGAGTAGATTGTTAGAGCAATTTATGGACCTTAGAAGTCACTTGGGTTATTTTCTTATTGATATATAAATACCTTATTATTTTTATTGTTGAAAGTATTACATATGTCTCCTTTTTCCCCCATTGACCCCTTCTAGCCCACCCCAGGCCTTTATCATACTTGTCTGTGTCCCTGGGTTATACATATTTGCATTATACTCCTACATCTTCAATAAATGATTATCTGATATTTTTTCTCCAATGTTAGAAAACTCATCTTTTAGGGCAGCCTGTTAGTTTTAAATCTCTAGTTAGAAATTTAGTCATTCATCTAATAATGTTAGCGATTATAATCCAGATACTGGAAGTGCAAAGTTAAATAAAATACTGTATACATAAGAGATTAATTTTAAAATATATTGAGCCAAGATAAATTATCCCAAATCTTTTGGCTATAGATACTATTTCTGTTCTCTAATCATATTAAATAAGCTTAATCCTTATACTGGCCCTTAAATATTTTAAAGTAGGATAGCCATCCAAATGTATAAATTCATGTGGAAAGTACACTCCAACAATTAAGCCCCACAAGAGAAAATCAGCTAAGGATATAAAATAAATCAATATTTTGCACAGATTTAAGTTGTGTATACTAAGTTCACAAGACAATGGCATACAAAAGTCAGGCCAGAAGTATTTTGCTTATGTGGCTGTGGTATCTATAGAGAGATCCAGAAAGTGGGTAACTTCTGACTTCATGCAAGCCGCCAGCATATGAGTCCAATATCCATTAGACTGAGGGAAAATTGAGGAAGCTATACTAGGTGACAAACTACTAGGTATTTCTCCTGTGTCAACTTGCTGTTATCAAAAGGGAAATCTGGTATTTCTACCATTTTAAACAAAGTTTGGTTAATGACTTTGCGTATGAGTGGTCATTGTATACAATCTCCCATGTTCTTTCGACTGGTGGCAACTGTGGGATTATATAAAATTTTTGGAAGTAAACCAAGAAAATGGAAAGAAAAGGGTACCACAATGACCTGACACTTGCTAGCTACTCAGCACCTGTGTTGTGAGAGCTGTGACATTCTTTTCAGTGAGATATGGGAAAGGATTGCCTGATTTTTTAAATGGTGTGGTAGGCAGATAGTACAGAGTTGGTGCATATAAACAGGTATAAAAATGCTATCAATAGTTGAGAGTTGAATTGTAAAACAGTTGACTGGTGTTGGGGCAATTTACTAGTATTTGGAAAGATATAGATGACCCCAATACATGACATAAAAATCCCTGGGTTCATTTGGAAAGTGATGCCCTATTCCCTGGAGTAGGACATGGTCAGTAATCATCTAGGGCAGTGGTCAGCAAACTCAGTCAACAGAGCCAAAAATCAACAGTAAGGCGATTGAAATTTCTTTTGAGAGCCAAATTTTTTAAACCTCTTCTAACGCCACTTCTTCAAAATAGACTCACCCAGGCCATGGTATTTTGTGGAAGAGCCACACTCAAGGGGCCAAAGAGCCGCATGTGGCTCGCGAGCCTTGGTTTGCTGACCACGGATCTAGGAAACTCAGGATCCTGATCAGCCAAGGAAGATTAAAACTGAGTTTCCTAGTATACACAGAAAATCCAAGCTGGCATCATGTCCAATTAGATTTCAACAGAAACCAGATGGAAGAGTCCTACAGCTTGTAAATTAAGCATCTGGTAATGTCTTCTTATGTGGGGGTAGTTGTGTTTAGGTTAACTGCTAAACCCTTGATCAATGTTACCTTTCCAGACATAGCTTCAGCTGTGGAACCTGATGCTCCAATATATCAACTAGTGTTTTACAATGTATTAATTAGGCAGTGGTCCATTAGGGAGGGGCAATCTCCTTTGGAAGGTCCCCAAACAATTGGAACACTCCAAGGGTATGGCCATGTTCCATCAAAAAAGGCCCTGGATTGGCTCTATGATTGCACTGAGCAAGCAGGATGACTTGGTAAGGTGGCAAGAGTTCTGATGACACAACTTAGAGGCCAACCACAAGCCAGAGAATTAAATTTCTGTATTAACTGAAAGCATCAATGCACAGCCTATGCATTTCTGTGAGTACTTAACCGCAAAGTGGGTTATATGGTGTTGGCCCTGGCTAGTGCCTGGAAGTAATGTGGAATTTCCCAGTGACTTGAATGCTTTGGTTCAGATCCCAATTTTCATCTGTCAATATGGCTTTTTTGTCTTCTTTTTTAATGTTGGTCTTGTCTGGTTATGACACATTATTTCTTTAAATGTGTTGGGCTGACAGGTTTAGCAAATAGAAATGCAAAACACCCAAATAAATTTTAATTTCAGATAAACAATGAAAAAAAGTAATTATTTTTCTGAAATTTAAATTGAACTAGCAGCCCTATACGTGTGCTCATAGCATTGATACAGCTTGGGTTGTAGTCATGTAGTTGTTCCCACAGAACAGAATAGTTCTGCCCAAGTATTACTTTTTAATTCCAATACTTCAGTTCTGGTAGCTCTTCTTCATTTCGGGAAAGGTCCACAAATTTGGATCATCTTCTTTCCAGAGCCCCCAAAAAACACAAGGAGTGGAAGCACAAAGTACCCCGGAAGGTGAGGTTGAGGAGCAGAGTTGGAAGCAAGGGGATTATTTGAAAAGTTTATTTGTGCCCTCCTTTTGTAGCCAGGTGACTATACCTCTGACTAGCCAAAGATCAGAGGCTTATTTCTAGAGAAGTTGAACCAAAGGCCCAGTTAGACTAAAAACTTGGACTGGGGGAGAGTGGTAGTGAAGTACTATCCTGAAAAGAGGATTAGAGAATGTATTTTGAACATTATGAGCCATCAGTCCCTTTTGTCCACCAGCTACATGATCTGGCAGCCAGGCTTATACCAGTCCTGTCCACTCAATCCAGAAAGATGAAAAATAAAAAATAAATAAATAAAAAAAAACCCAGCTGGCCACTTGATTATTTGTTGCAGTGAAATCCTGCTCATTCAGACACGGCTTTCAGTCACTTGAACTCACCATGAACTGATAGCTAAGAATCATTATCATTAGACATTTGAGGATACCTTCAACAATGAAAGATGAGAACCAAAACAAAATGAACGTGGGGGCAGGAGGATGGGAAATAGTGCAGGGAACATAAAACTCCCAAAGAAGCTCTAATATTCTCAGAAACTTAGGAGAATATATTGCATCTATGAAATAACAGGATGCTATTAAAAAAAAAAAAAATGAAGAATCGGAGAATAAAAGCATTGGGGAAAATAAGGAAGCCAAAATGAAACATTTGGTAGATGTGTTGGAAGGTAAGTTGAAGAAATTTTTGAAAGAATAAAAAGGCAGAGATGAAAAATAGGAAAATAAGATCGGAATGGGATGCAACATCTGATAAATAAGAACCTCAAAATGAGAGAACAGAGAAAGGAGGTGAAAAGAGAAAAAAAGATTTCCCAAAAACAGGACATAGGTCTTCTAAACTAACAGGATCTACTGAGTGCCCATCACAATGAATTAAAAAATACAAAAGCACATCATGTTATTTCAGGATCCCAGGGTTAAAGATCCTAAAAGTTTCCCAAGGGGGAAAACAAGGTTTACAGAAAAGGGTATTTTCAGAATGGCATTTAGGCTTTTTGGAAGACTATGAAAGCAAGGCCTTCTAATTTAAAAATTCTGATCTAGAATTCTATATCCAGTCAATCCAAGTATGGGGACTAAAGGTCAGACTTGCATGGTCTCAAAATTTTACCTTACCATGTACCCTTTCTTAGGAGGCTACTGGAGGACGTGCTTCACCAAAACAAAGGAGTAATCTAAGTCAGAAGGCATGGGATCCTGAAAACATAAGATCTCACAAAGGAATACAATAAAGAAAAAACCCCAGGATGACTGCTGTGTCAAGTAAGTAGGATAGGGGTTTTAGGAAGTAGGTCTCTAGAAAACTTAGAACAAAGTAAGTATATGGAAAATGTAGAAAAGACTGAGACAGATATTGGGAAATTAGGAGAAAAGAAGATAATTACATAGAAAACTAGGTTAGTAATAAAATCAATTAGAAGCATACCAAATACACATTTTTGGATGAATGTCACTATCACAAAAATAAATCTGAAATTTTTATTTTTAAATGTAATTATTACAGTTTTAGTAAGACTTAGTAGACACTTTATTTTTTTTTTAATATATTGATTTTTTTTCAGAGAGGAGGAGAGAGGGATAGAGAGCTAGAAACGTTGATGAGAGAGAAACATCGACCAGCTGCCTCTTGCACACCCCCTACCGGGGATGTGCCCGCAACCAATGTACATGCCCTTGACCGGAATCAAACCTGGGACCTTTCAGTCCGCAGACCAACGCTCTACCACTGAGCCAAACCGGTTTCGGCTTAGTAGACACTTTAAAATACAGATGTAGCATTGACAGGCATCATACACCACAATTGCAAAAGGTCCTCACTTTCCAGTAAGGTGTGCACTGCAGAAATTTTTTTCAGAAAATAAATATTACTTAAAAATTTATCTTGTAAATTTTGCTTAGGCAAGTCTCAAAACTGTTTATAAAAAATGATACGTAATCTACAGCAGTCATCTCAAGTTTTTCATTTTGATTTTACCTTTGTGGGCTCAAAAGCATAATGAATTATCTATGTCTTTAAAAACAATATTTTGAAATTTCATAGTTTTTTATCTTCCATACTATTTTTGCCATCAAAATATAGTTAAATCCAGTGACAGATTCATAATATATTCCTATGTAGCACTTTAGATATTTTTCCTGTGAGTTTTATGTTTGAGGTTTTTTCTATACTTTGTTTATATTATTACTAGAGGCCTGGTGCACGAAATTCATGCACTCGGGGAGAGAGAGTCCCTCAGCCTGGATTGCCAGAGTGTGCATGCCAGGCTGAGGGACCCCACAGATGCATGAGCAAGGCGGGGAGGGATGCAGGAGGTTGTCCAGCTGGGGAGGGACCACAGGAGGGCTCCAGAGCATGTCCAGCCAGTCTTGCTCAGTCCTAATCAGCCAGATCCCAGCAGTAAGCTAACCTACTGGTTGGAGCCTCTGTCCCTGGTGGTCAGTGCACGTCATAGTGAGTAGTTGAGCATTCTTAGCATATCATTAGCATGTTATGCTTTGGTTGAACGGACAATCAGACAACCGGACACTTAGCATATTAGGCTTTTATTATATACTAGAGGCCCGGTGCACAGATATTCATGCAAGAGTAAGCCTTCCTTCCCCCTGCTGCTGGGATCCGGGCTGCCTGTACCAGCTTTCCTCTGGCATCTGGCAGCTGGGTTTCCCTCCTCTGGCCACCAGCAGGCACCCAGGACCCAGGCTCGCTTCCCTCTGGCCACCCGCAGGCACATGGGATCCGGGCTGCCCGCAGGCATCTGGAACTGGGGCTTGCTTCCCCCTGACGCCCACTTCATCAGGAAGGACATCTGGAATGATGTCCAGGAGATGTCTAGTCTAATTAGCATATTACCCTTTTATTATTACAGAGGCTTATGTATTCTTGGAATAAATTTTGATTTAATTGCATATGATTGTGTGGTGATACACTTTTTTCTTTGTCATCAAATCCATTAAGGAGCCCTAGATGGTTGGCTCAGTGGATAGAGTGTCAGCCCGCAGACTGAAGAGTCTCGGGTTTGATTTTGATCAAGGACATGTACCTTGGTTACAGGTTCCCTGGCTCTTGGTTGGGGTGGGTGCAGGAGGCAACTAATCTTTCTCACATCAATGTTTCTCTCTTCTCTCCCTCTCCCTTCTACTCTCTCTAAAAAATCAATGGAAAAATATCCTTGGGTGAGGATTAACAACAAAAATCCCTTAAGGAAACCATGCCAAACCAATTTGTCCATCTGCCCTTTTTTAAAAATAAGAAATAATAAACCTACAGTGAAGTACATAAAGTGCGCTAATCCTAAGTGTACATGATCGTTTTTTACATAAGGATACACTCATATCACGATGTGAACACTGAAATCAAAGAACAAAAAGTTTATTTTTCACTTGCACCCTTTCCCAGTCTGAACTAGCTACTCTACTCTTAAATAGCAATTAGTTGTGCTTGTTCTCGACTTCGTATAAAATCATATATTTTATGCTTAGCTTTTCAGCAGTGTAACATGTGATTCATCCAGGTGTTTGCATGTATCAGTGGTCCATATTTTCATTGCTGTTGACTATTCCATTCTGTGACTATGCCATCATTCATTTATTCACCTGTTGATAGCATTCGGGTTCTTTCCAATTTTTGGCTATTATACATAAAATTGCAATAAGTATTCTTATACCTGTGTTTTTGGTGGGTATGTATACTCCTTCCTCTTGGGTATTATACATAGGAGTCAAATTGCCATGTCATAGCGTAGATTATAAAGCAAAAATTCATAGAGGAACATGACAAAGCTTGATTGCACTATTAAAGCAATTCTCAAGGTGTGGTCTGGTACCATATACAACAGCATCACTGAAGCGATTGTTTAAAATGCCTTACGCAGATGCACTAAATCAAAATGTCTGATGTGGCTGAGACCGGTTTGGCTCAGTGGATAGAGCATCAGCCTGTGGACTGGAAGGTCCCAGGTTCGATTCCGGTCAAGGGCATGTACTTTGTGGGCACATCCCCAATAGGGGGTGTGCAGGAGGCCGCTGATTGATGTTTCTCTCTCATCAATTTTTCTAACTATCCATCTCCCTTCCTCTCTGTAAAAAATCATAAAATATTTTAAAAAGATGTTTAACAGGAAACTGTAGTTTTCAGAAGTAAAATTATATAGATGTTTTAGAGAAATGCAAAACTATGGGGTTGTGGTTTCTGAGACTCTGAAGCATGCCTTCTTTGTGGAGATTATTAAAACTCTTGGTCTAAGGCAGCTTGTAAAATATTAACCATGCTAATTGCTTATTATGATGATGACGCTATTGAGAATCTGCATGGGGTGTTGTCGCTTCCCTAAAAGCCCACGGTGTGAAACCAGAGAAAGCAGAGCCACAAAAACATTTGGCCCCCTCCCCTCTCCACTCACTGAACAAATTGGTAATCCAGGATCTGTCACCCCCTCTCGCTGGGCTTGATTTATGCTATCCGCACTCCATCTGTTCCGCGGTTCCCCCATCCTTTTCACCCCCTCCTTTCCACCATCTTCCACCTTTCCGTTCACTCTCTCTGCGCCCCGCCCGCCTCCCGCACCTGCGTCCCGGGTTCAATCCCCAGCTCCTCCGCGCCCCTCTGCCCCCTCCTTCCCTTTGTTTAGTGATCCCCCGCAATCCTCCCGCAGCGCCCGGGCTCCTCCCCAAGACCCCCCGCGCCTCCTCTCGTCCGATATTCGCTCTCGCCTCCTGCCCCTCTCCAGGCACCCTGCGCCCTCCGACCAGGGTCCGAGGCCCCACAGTCGCTGGCTGAGTGAGCTGGGAAGGTGCCGGGTCCTGGTCACCCCACTCCCCCAGCAGCACGTCGCCAGGGGCTCCTCCCTAACGGTGCGCCCGGTGGCCCGGGGCTGGGGCCGGCTCCGGTGCCCGCTCCGCCAGGGACGCCCTCCGCGGGCGGGGGGCGCCGCCACCGGGTCCGGGAGCGCCGCGCCCGCCAGCGCGCACCTCTCCGAGGCCGGCGTCTCCCTCCCGGGCTCCGCTCTCCCCTCGCCCGCAAAAACCCAGCCCGCACGGGGGCGCGGCCGCACATCGAGGCGCACCTGCGGGCCTCGGCGCCGCCCGCAGGGAGAGGCGCCCGCGGGGAGAGGCGCCCGCGGGGAGCGGCGCCCGCGGGGAGCGGCGCCCGCGGGGAGCGGCGCCCGCGGGGAGCGGCGCCCGCGGGGAGCGGCGCCCGCGGGGAGCGGGGCCCGCAGAGCGGGCAGCGGGGGCGCGGGCGGCGGGCGGGCGGCGCCCGGGCGGGGGCGGCGGCGCGGCCGGACCGCAGTGCCCTCCCCCAGAGCCCGCGCCCCGCGCTCACGCGCTCCCCGCTCCCACGCCCGCGCGCACGTGCCCCCCGCGGGCCGCGAGCACACGGCGGGGCCGGGCGCCGGCGCTCAGCGATGGCTTCTGCGGTCAGCAGCGCCGGCCCTGCCCCCGGCTCCGGCTCCGGCGCGGACGCCCCCGGGGGCGCCTGCCGGGGCGCGGACTGCGACCCCGAGCTGCACGTGAAGATGTGCAAGAAGATCGCCCAGCTCACCAAGGTAGGGCCGCCGCGGGGGGCCGGTGCAGCCGGGGGAACTGGCCGGAGGCCGCCGCCGTGACCTTCCGCAGGCGCAGACCTTCCGCAAGGCGGGCCCACAGCTGCGGGGCTCCGCCAGGGGGCGCCTCCATCCCCAGCCGCGCCCCTGCGGGGGCTGCGCCCAAGGGGGTGCGATCCCGCTGACTCAGGGCTGGGGTGTGTGTGTGTGAGAGTGTGTATGTGAGTGTGTGTGAGAGTGTGTATGTGAGTGTGTGTGTGAGAGTGTGTGTGTGTGTGAGAGTGTGTATGTGAGTGTGTGTGTGAGAGTGTGTGTGAGTGTGTGTGTGAGAGTGTGTGGGTGTGAGTGTGTGTGTGTGTGCGAGTGTGTGAGTGTGAGAGCGTGTGTGTGTGTGTGTGTGTGTGTGAGTGTGTGTGTGTGAGTGAGAGTGTGTGTGAGTGAGTGTGTGTATGTGAGTGTGTGTGTGTGTGTGTGCGAGTGTGTGAGTGTGAGAGCATGTGAGTGTGTGTGTGTGCGAGTGTGTGAGTGTGAGAGCGTGTGTGTGTGTGTGTGTGTGTGAGTGTGTGTGTGTGAGTGAGAGTGTGTGTGAGTGAGTGTGTGTATGTGAGTGTGTGTGTGTGTGTGTGTGTGAGAGTGTGTGGGTGTGAGTGTGTGTGTGTGTGTGTGTGCGAGTGTGTGAGTGTGAGAGCGTGTGAGTGTGTGTGTGTGAGAATGTGTGGGTGTGAGTGCGTGTGTGAGTGTGTGAGAGTGTGTGTGTGAGTGTGTGAGTGTGAGTGTGTGTGTGTGAGAGTGTGTGTGTGTGAGAGTGTGTGTGTGTGAGAGAGAGTGTGTGTGTGTGTGTGTGAGAGTGTGTGTGTGTGAGAGTGTGTGTGTGTGTGTGAGTGTATGTATGTGTGTGTGAGTGTGTGTGTGTGAGAGTGTGTGTGTGTGTGTGAGTGTGTGTGTGTGAGTGTGTGTGTGAGAGTGTGTGTGTGTGAGTGTGTGTGTGTGTATGTGAGTGTGTGAGTGTGTGTGTGTGAGAGTGTGAGTGTGTGTGAGTGTGTGTGTGTGAGTGTGTGTGTGTGTGAGAGAGAGTGTGTGTGTGTGTGAGTGTGTGTGTGAGAGTGTGTGTGTGTGTGTGTGAGTGTGTGAGTGTGAGAGCGTGTGTGTGTGTGAGTGTGTGTGTGTATGTGAGTGTGTGTGTGTGAGTGTGTGTGAGTGTGTGTATGTGTGTGTGTGGGTGTGTGTGAGTGTGTATGTGAGTGTGTGTGAGAGTGTGTGTGTGTGTGTGTGTGTGAGTGAGTGTGTGAGTGTGTGTATGTGTGTGTGTGGGTGTGTGTGAGTGTGTGTGTGTATGTGAGTGTGTGTGTGTGAGTGTGTGTGAGTGTGTGTATGTGTGTGTGTGGGTGTGTGTGAGTGTGTGTGTGTGAGTGTGTGTGAGTGTGTGTATGTGTGTGTGTGGGTGTGTGTGAGTGTGTGTGTGTATGTGAGTGTGTGTGTGTGAGTGTGTGTGAGTGTGTGTATGTGTGTGTGTGGGTGTGTGTGAGTGTGTGTGTGTATGTGAGTGTGTGTGTGTGAGTGTGTGTGAGTGTGTGTATGTGTGTGTGTGGGTGTGTGTGAGTGTGTGTGTGTGTGTGAGTGTGTGTGTGTGTGTGAGAGTGTGTGTGTGAGTGTGTGTATGTGTGTGTGTGGGTGTGTGTGAGTGTGTGTGTGAGTGTGAGTGTGTGTGTGTGAGTGTGTGTGAGTGTGTGTATGTGTGTGTGTGTGGGTGTGTGTGAGTGTGTATGTGAGTGTGTGTGTGTGTGTGTGTGTGTGTGTGTCCCTTTTGCCGCTCTGCTCAAGTGGCCATGCCTGGAATGTTGTGATTTTATTAATCGCTGGGCTTCACAGTCGGGCAGGTCAGGCAGGTCATGTGCGCCCGATTTAAACACTTGATTCCTTGTTTTTTTCTTCCAACAAATATTTGGGTCGTTGGTTGAGTGCCAGGAGCTTGCGTGGCGCCGTCACCACACCTGGCAGGCAGCCCGGGGACTTACTCTCACACTGGGTGCGGACGTGTGTGGAGCATCAATGAGCAAGTGCAGGCTCACCGTTCACTGTGGGATTCCCAAGAACCTGGGAGGGCAGCCAGCCCATCGCCTCTCCCCATCCCGGGCCCGATTGCTCCGCGGACTGCGTGCTTCCTTACGGAGACCAGCGAGGAGATGCCGCTCTGCCCTTCAGTCTCCCTCTGGCTCCCAGTCAGGAGCTCCTGGTGGCAGGTCCCCCGTGCCTATAAGCTACTCCCTCTCTGCCTTCCACCGAGGTCCCCAGAGTGGGATTCAGTGGTTTCCCCTGGGGTTTCCTTGGATCTCATATTAAACTCCAGGTCCAGGTTCCACCCTCCTCCCTGACTATTTCCCTCCTGTTCCCCACACCCACTTTTGGATAGGATTGCAGGCATGTTCCTTCCCACATCACCAGGAGCGGGAGAGCACAGAGACCAGGAATTGGACAGTAGCTGCCTTCTCTCCCGCACCCCCAACTCCCAGGGTAACTTCTCCACGTTCTTACACACGTGTCTCTCTGTAAATAGTGACCTCTTTAGTCAAGGATGGAAAAAGGGCTGAAACCGTTTGGCTCAATGGAGAGAGCATTGGTCTGCGGACTGAAAGGTCCCAGGTTTGATTCTGATCAAGGGCATGTATCTTGGTTGCGAAGGGTATGCAGGAGGCAGCTGATCAATGTTTCTAGCTCTCTGTCCTTCTCCCTTTCTATCTTTAAAAAATCAATAAAATATATATTATATATGTATATATATATTTTTTTAAAGGATGGGAAAAGGGCATGGAGATAGTCCTTGGAGGTCATGGCAGGTGCTGCTGGCACCACTGATCTAATCTACATTCATCAAGTAGTGACATCAACCCCCAAAAAAGTACTGATATCTTTTTTTTAAAATATATTTTTTATTGATTTCAGAGAGGAAGGGAGAGGGAGAAAGATAGAAACATCAATGATGAGAGAGAACCATTGATCGGCTGCCTCCTGCAATCCCCATACTGGAGATGAGCCTGCAACCTGGACATGTGCCCTTGACCGGAATCAAACCTGGGACCCTTCAGTCCGCAGGCTGATGTTCTATCCACTGAGCCAAACCAGCTAGGGCAGTAGTGATATTCTTGATTCAAGGCACCGTGAACAGGATAAGGCTCCCTGCCCATCATGCCTTAGTTGGTTGGGCATCTTCCTGTGCCCTGAAAGGATATGGGTTCCATTCCTAGTCAGAGGCACAAGCGAGCTGGATCCCCACTGGGGCGTGTGCTGGAGGCGGCAGATCTGTGTTTCACTCTAGCAATAATGTTTCTCTCTCTCTCCTCATCTCCCTTCCTCTCTGAAATAAAAAATAATATATATATATTTTTTTTAAGTGTAAGCCATCATCTCTAAAATATTTTTGGAGAAACAAGATTGGATCAAAAAATAAAAGACATGGCCCTAACTGGTTTGGCTCAGTGGATAGAGCATTGGCCCGAGGACTGATGGACCCCACGTTCGATTCCAGCCAAGGGCACGTGCCTGGGTTGCAGGCTCCATCCCCAGTGGGGAATGTGCTGGAGGCAGCCAATCATTGATTCTCTCTCATCATTAATGTTTCTCTCTCTCTCCTTTCCCTTTCTCTCTGAAATCAATAAAGAAGTTTATTTAAAAAAATAAAAATAAAAATAGCCGGGACCGGTTTGGCTCAATGGATAGAGCGTCGGCTTGGGGACTGAAGGGTCCCGGGTTCGATTCCGGTCAAGGGCATGTACCTTGGTTGCGGGCATATACCCAGTAGGGGGTGTGCAAGAGGCAGCTGATTGATGACTCTCTCTCATCGATGTTTCTAACTCTGTATCTCTCTCCCTTCCTCTCTGTACAAAGTCAATAAAATATATTTTTTTTAAAAAATAAAAATAAAAGACATGAGAGAGGGGTCAATCAGGGAAAAAGGAGACACCTGTAAAACTTTAGACGATAAAAAAACTAAAAGACACTACTATATAATCAGCTGCTAAATTGGACATTTCAAATGACCAGCTCTATAGAAGTAGAGACAAAGTCGCTATGGTCAGAGCAGTTCAGAGCGGTTTTGTGGGAGAAGTGAACCTTGAATTTAGGGACTTTTGGGAATGCATACTGTGTGCTGAGGACTGATGGCATAAAGCTGAGTAAGACAGGGCCCTATCCTTGTGGCATGGCAAACACATAAAGAGAGCATGTGAACACAATGCAGTCAGTTCACACATTACTATTTATGGCACACGCCCTGAGGATATGGCAGTGAAGGAAGCAGGCATGGTCCCTAGCACGTAGGAGGCAGCATGTCTCGACATAGGTTCTGCATTGGAAATCACAGTTGATTCTTATTCTCTTGTGCCTCTTTTTACCGTTTTCATGCTAATTGTTTAGATTAGTCATGTTTGATACTGTTATTGAAACACCCCTTTCTTTTTTCTTTTTTTTAATATATTTTATTGATTTTTTTTTTACAGAGAGGAAGGGAGAGAGATAGTTAGAAACATCGATGAGAGAGTCATCTATCAGCTGCCTCTTGCACGCCCCCTACGGGGGATGTGCCCGCAACCAAGGTACATGCCTTGACCGGAATCGAACCCGGGACCCTTCAGTCGGCAGGCCGGCGCTCTATCCACTGAGCCACACCGGCTTCGGCGAAACACCCCTTTCCTTTGGCCACCAATTACTCATCCTGTGTTTTTCACCTCTTCCTATGTGATCTTTCCATAAGCTTTATTTTACTTGTGTCTCTGATAGGTGAAAAAGGCTGAAAACCGCTGGTATGTTTAGCCCTTAAAATAAAAAAATTCCTGCCGAAACCGGTTTGGCTCAGTGGATAGAGCATTGGCCTGCGGACTGAAGGGTCCCAGGTTCTATTCCGGTCAAGAGCATGTACCTTGGTTGCGGTCACATCTCCAGTAGAGGGTGTGCAAGAGGCGGCTGATTGATGACTCTCTCTCATTGATGTTTCTAACTCTCTATCTCTC